CATCGGCCGGGCCCCCCTCCTCCTCCTCCTCTTCCTCCTCCTCTCACTCTGGGACTATCCCATCACTGAGGCCCCCAGCTTGGGAGTTGCTAGGTAACCAGAACCAGCTGTTGGTCTTAAGCCCGTTGAGCCCGTTTTTTTGGCTGCGCGTCAACCGCGGAGTAGTTTTCTTTGAGAGCTCCTCCGTGAACTCGGCGACCGCCGCTGTGGCCCTGACATCATCGCGCCGTGGAAAATCTTCCTCACTTCCTTTTGTTTTTTTTGCAGTTTTATTGTTCCGTCGACGCGGGCGCCGGCGGCGCCGTGTCACACCCGTTTAGAGTCACTCGGGGGGGCGTTTCATCACCTTTCAGCACACAGCTAGGAGGAGGTAGAGGCAAGAGGGGATGAGCTGCTTTGGCTGTCAGTTGAAAAAGACATTAGATGTAAAGCGCGTCGCTCCTCTGTGAGGCGACGACACTGAACGGTCTCTGAGGGGTTTTAACAGAGGTACGAGCGCCTTGTCGGGTAGATCCACGGTCTGAAAACAGGGGATGCAGTGTGGCGTTCTTAAATACCAATTTAAACATTTCCAAAGCCAATAGCAGAAACGCAGGTTTGAGCCGGGCTGTATTTTCCTTTCATTGATTGTTTCGCGCCCTACTTAGGAAACGATTCCTTCTCTCTGAAACCTCCTCCTGAGCTGCTTTTCCAAACGAAGCGAATTAAACACCGGATCGTTTTTCCCCGAGGAGGGGAATACTTCTATGAGTTCTGCCCTTTTTTTTTCTTTCTTTTCTTCGTTTAAAACGAAAGCTTCTATTTCTGTTGTCAGAATCCAAAAAGGCTTTTTGGTTTGGAACATCTGTAATCCATTTGTGGTCGGAGGAACGCTATTGACAGCTCTGCCAAAAGTCCTCATACTTCCTGGAGAAGCATCCAGTTTGCTAGTATCGCCGACTTAATGATGATATCAGCCTTAGTCCGTTCAAGCTTGACGCCCCCCTCCCCCCCCCTGTCACACTGTGTAGATTCACTTTGTCAAGCTGTTGGCTTTGTTGTTGTTGTTTTTTTTTTTATTACTTTCTGGCTCAGAGACGATGCTGGCTGTTGATAAAAAAAACACTTTGGGTGGAATAACAGGAAATGGACACAAGCAATTTGCATTTTTATCCAAATGACTACCAGCCGAGATGCCCCGCCGCCTGATGCAAGCCATCTTGGGTCGTGTTGTTTCTGCCGCTCGCGTCAGTCCGCGGCTAATGGGCACTCGGAAAAACTGCTCTGCGGTGCATTCTGGCCCCCGCTGCAGAATGAGCCGGGGAGTTCGGTCTGGCGGTGCGGAGCGCTGGGCTCTGCGTTGGGGTGAGGAGAGTTCTGGCTTTGGCTTTGGTTTCCTGAAGTCCAGCTTCTGGCTCGAGCTGCTGGGCGGGGGGGCAAGCTGCCAGGGTGGGGGTGGGGGTGGGGGAGAGATGGGTGGAGTAAATAAAGCTCAGGCGGTCAGGTTTGTTTCATGGTCAGTCTTCTTGGAGGGGTGAGACTCTCTGCTGTGTGATTGGTTGCGGCGGTTGGCGTTCGCCCTGCAATGGTTATCGGGATGAGACTCGATGGTGTTCCCCTCTTTTAGGGCTCCTCCATAAGGGGCCATCTGAGATGAACGCTGTGGAGCGTCATGATTCGTTTTCTTATTATGGCCTCACATCTATAGAGCGAGTTCTGTTGTTCTCTTTTCTGCAAAATAGGACATTTAAAATGGTGTCTGATTCTCTTTGTGAAATGAAGAGACGTAAGTGTGTTCACTGCTTACATTTAGCAGATGACTGTTATTTCAGTAAACCTCTCATTGTAATATCATTATTGTCCTTGCTAATCAATATTAGTTCACAGAGACCTGAAGCCAAAGACACACAGCAAGGCAGTGTGATGTTCCCATAAGATAATGTGGTTTACTACAAATTCATTCCCTAATCCTTTTGAAATATAAATCATCCACATCTTTAAACAAAGATTTTGTGTACTTTTGCCATAATTCCACGTGGATCCGTATGAGTAAAATATAACAAATGTTCTCAGGATGGCAGATTATATTCTACACATTTCACAAGACCGATTCTTTTCATCTGAGTAAGAGTGTCCTTTGAATAAACGCGAGGTTTAGACGTGTAGCATGAAAGGGTTTGAAATAGTTCTTCCAGAAACCTCTCTGAGCGGCGGCACAGCCAGCAAACGACCAACGAGACATTAGGAAATTCAAAATTCTGATGCCTCCTGCTCTCCCCGGACTGGCGGGAATAAAAAAATACATTTAAAATAACTTGTATTTCTGACAGCAGGGTAAGAGGCCAATGGAGAGCAGCCTCGGTCAGCAGCGCCTTCCCCTCTCTCACTGGGAATAAACTGTGATATTCTGATCATTATGTATGAAAACAATATGTTTTTGCATGGCTGAGATTCTCCAAATCGCCGGCCAGGTGACGGAGTCATTGACGCTGGCGTTAAACAGCCTTCATTGATCACGTGCTAAATGCATTGTGACCACGAGGGAATAATCAATCGACAGCAGTTTGACCCACTTCCTGCAAAGTGACGCTGCTTTTTGCACCAGCGGCTTCTTGTTTATGTCCGTTAGTGTGTGTGTGTGTGTGTGTCTTTTTGATCTCAGAGCGTGTGTGTTTGTTTGGGTCACACACACACGCGGCCCTGTTTGAGGAGCGGTAGCTTTTTGCGGTGTGTGTGTGTGTGTGTGTGTGTGTGTGTGTGTGTGGCTGTCGGATGATGAAGTGTTTTCTCCGCTGCGATAATGAACTCTGAGCGAGTACGGCGAGGAGGAGGAGGAGGAGGAGGAGGCGCAGGTGTATTTGGCAAGCCGACCGACACCCCCCCCCAGACACACACACACACACACACACTGTGAGAATGATGCTTTCAGCGTTTACTAGGAAGAGAAGGATTAAGATCACTTCTCCCACATTGTTTGTTTTAACCTTTTTGTTTATTCCTTTGGTTTCTCACCATTATTATTAACTTTTATGCTTTTTAGACTTTTATATGATGCACAGTTTTTATTATCGGTGCTAAACAATATAAAAAAATGAAATGAAACGTTTGTGTTTCATTTTTTTACAGCATTTCACACACAGCAGTTGTAAAAGCCTCGATGAAAAAGATCCACACAAAAAGTGCAGCAGTAATAAAACAGATTACTGGAGAAGGTCACTATTAACTAATAAAACATTCTGAGATCACAATAAATAAATGTCACTGATCCAACTGCACATTTGGAATTTGCCGCAAACAGGTTTAAAAAAATAAATATAAAAACAGACCAAGATGATGTTTTCAGGCTGAAGCACCAAAAAACAAAAATCGATACTCTTTGTTTTACTATTCTCCGTGTCCCATAATGAAATCCATTAGCTTATTAAATAGATCTTACATCCTAACTGCCCACATCTTCTAAACTAAACACATCGAGTCTGCAGGCTTTCTGTTATAAAACGTTATAAAACTCAAATTCAAATCGATTTCTGTGTTCTGCCCCTTTTTGTTGATACTCAAGCATTTTTCTTAGGGGATTTTTTTTATCAAAGGAAAACAATACTTGATGGGAAAAAACTAAGAAAAAAAAGCCTCTTTAATGGCACATCCACAAACCAAAAGCTTAAGGCACATAAACCGTCCACTCAACAGCTGCCGTCAAATTGAAATGACAGTGTTTGAAGTTTCTTTTGCAAACTGGTCCTTGCATTTTTCAAACTGAGCTGGCAGAAAAACACACAAATACAGAAATGTCTTGTTAAATATCCTAAACTGATCTGACTTTGACTTCATAGTAACAAAGTGAGAGTGAAAATAGTTTTTTTGGGGCCTTCAAACTGTGGACCAATTCCACCAAATAGCAGTTTCGTCCCTCTATAACTCACAGAAGTCATCGCTGCAGCATCTTCGCCTGGCCGTGCCAAACGCTAAACAAGCCTGCCGGTGCAGAACTGAAGGCCGGTGAACTCAAAACGTGCGTTCTCTCATTGCATCATTCGCATCTGATGCGTCTGAAGCGCGCGTGGTCACCAAGCGCCGTCCACGCCTCCCGAAAGGAAGCGACAGACAGCGAGCGAGCGGCCCGGCTGCCCGCACCAGCAGCGCAGATGTCACTAAATAAAATATTTCATAATCCTGCCCAAATCCTCTAATCACCATGACAACAGGCAGCAGGGAGCCAGAGAGTGGTGGTGTGTCGCCCCCCCCCCATTTTCTTTTCTCTTTCCTCCCTTCTTTTTTTTTAAACGGGAATTCAGGTCCGCGCCGGCGCTATTCCTCCCCTAATAATACAACATTACAAAGGAGAACCTTTCGTTGATTTTTTAAGGGGAAGAAACAGCTGTTCTCCCCCCCGTTTGCCCACGATCGTAGCACGACCTGACGGCAGTGCAAGGGCAGCGATGGCGAGCCCGCTCGCTCGCCCCCGAGAGGACGCGCCCGGAGACGAGCAAGACTTTGAGATGAATTATGGAATACCTCGAGATTTCTTCTTCTTCTTCCAGTGTTTGTAAGCGAGTGTGTCATAAGGTGTGAACTGTTCACAAGGTGCAGAGACGCACACACCGGCCCGCCTGCTTCTCAACGCTGATAGGACAATGGAGGTGATGACCTCATGGGGTGAAAGGACCTGTTGCCTGGTAACAGTGTGGCTAACAGCGAGAGGGGGGGGGGGTTATCAGATCACCGGCATTGTGAATGTGTGTGTGTGCGTTTATATATCGACCAGTGTTGCAAGGTAAGGGACACAATGACGGTGATTTAAAGTAGAGAACTACACGTGTACGGCGTGCGTGTAGTGTGTGTGTGTGTGTACGTGATTTATTACATCATACAGGCAAATACACACACGTCGCGGCCTGTGTAAACACTTCCTGCGGCGGGTTTGCATTAAATGCATTTTACCGGTTCTCTTGCGGCTTACTTGAGTGTATGAGGCAGACATTAATATTTAACTCCCTCTCTTTCTCTCTGGCTGTCTGCAGGTATTCGGCCCCAGATTATGAATGGCCCTATGCACCCACGCCCCCTGGTGGCGCTGTTGGACGGGCGCGACTGCACTGTGGAGATGCCCATCCTCAAGGATCTGGCCACCGTGGCCTTCTGTGACGCCCAGTCCACACAGGAGATCCATGAAAAGGTAGACATTATCATCTTGAGCTTTTTATTTCTAAGCCAATTCTAGCAGCCTTTCTCGCTTTGAATAGTTGTTTGATTTTTTTTTTTCGTGCTTCAAACAATCTGGAAGGTGTAGACAATGAGTCAAGAGTGGAAACGTTCCTCTATGTCACTGAAATAAGTAGAGCGGAGAATTAACAGAATGATGTGTCGGGAAAATACGTTTAAACCGTTTGTTTCCTGAGACTCCTACAGTTATAAACTTGTGTTCTTATTTTGAAAGGTTTTAGCCTCCCAATGGAAATGTGGTCACATGTTCGATAGCAGCTTTCAAAAACATGTCACTTTCTGAAAGAGATAACATCAAGCAAAGGCATGGAATTAAATACACACATATTTATTCTAATCAATTAATTGTCTATGTGACACAGAATTAAAACAAAAAACAAGTTCTCACCTATTAGCATCTTTGGAAATAGTGTGACACACACACATCGTTATATGGACATAATAAGTGTGATTCTTGAATAATTTGTCTTCAGTTGAGCGCAGAAGAATCTTCTTCCGCGTTTCCTCCTCTGTAATGTTTTAATAATAATTCGGCCCACTGGCTTGTTCCACTCTCCCAGTTCAGCTATAATGGTTTCATCATGACTAATCCCACTTGGTGCTGAAGTGCTGCTTTGTTAAATAAGGAGGAGGAGGAGGAGGAGGAGGCTGCTAATAGAAATGCAGTATAATTGTTCTGAGGCCGAGTGGGTGAAACATTTGTCTTATTTTACTGCATATTGCGGGAGCCGCTCTGAAGCAATTTCACAATCCAAGCTGGAGGCTCTGTCTCTTCACGCAGAGGTTAGCAGGCTTCCACTTTACGTCCTATTCAATTCACAGAGGTTGGAAGATATGCAAGAATCTTTTTTTTTTTTTTAACTTATATCCTTTTCTTTCTCCCTTTAATTTCACACACACACACACACACACACACACACACACACACACGCTATCTCTGTCCAGTAAGCGCTCTGGTAGTGAATGCATTACACATACCAGGACCCATCTGGGAGAAGAGATGTTGGCTTTGTTCCCGCAACTATAACGGCACAGCAGAGGGTACAGATGGGGCACGCTACGCACGCACACACACACACACACACACACACACACGCACACACTTGCCAAAAGCCTCACTGGAAGTTTCAGTTAGGGGAGTACTGTTCACACAGGCGCGAGTCAACATACTTGCACGCGGCTGTCTTCCTGCAGATGCAGCGATTAAGGAATCGGTCACTCAGAAGTCGGTTCTCTGTTTGAAGTGCCGGCCGGCGGGGACCTGCAGAGCCAAAAGGCACTCGTGGTCTAATGGATACCGATACAGTGACGTCCTCGGGGGGAGGGGGGATATAAAATGTGTTTTTCACGCGGTTTTGACATTGCCGTATCAACGATCGGGGTCCTAAGTGCACTGCAAATGTCAGCCACAGAGGAGGATGATGTATATCTCACTCATGCAGAAAATACTTCACCAATCGGGACGCGCTGAGAGAAATGGAGCAAAACATCACTTTGTCATACTGGCTTTTTTGATCTGATAGTTAACCGCCGGAAAGTAATGAAACAAAAGATACTAGTTATGTTTTAATAAAATTCACCAACTTTGATATTCTATTAGTTAGCATTATGAAATGGTTTGATATTTTGGACAATAAGCTTTTAGAGCTTGAGTTATCGTAGCATAGTGACAGACACTAAAGCCCACGGTCCTATATTTGTCTTTCTACACTCATGTCACAGATGAATCTCCGTAAGTATTTCCTTGAGGCTTCATAAATGTCCCATTACACGGCCAGAGAATCGCTTGCCGCCTTTCCCCGGAGCTCCGAGCGCTCGGCGACGTCGTTCCCGATCCCTCGCTGGAGGCCGTGGCCTCGCACGAGCAGCGTCACATGTAACGTTTCACACGGCAGCGCAAAGCGCGGAGGAGTTATTCCATTTAATTAGCATAACAGAAGAACCCACTTTCTCACTTTTTCCACGCCGGGTGAACCCGCCTCTCAGCTCGTTTCCTTTCGCTCAGCAGTCGGCGGTGATTTTCAGCCGCTGGCTGGATGGATGGGGGGGGGGTGCACGAGGAGAGCTTTGACCTTGAATTAAGCGTCCAGCTCTGGCCGCGGCTCGCTCCAATGAGAAACGTTGCATGGAAATTCATGGCCTTGCTAATCTGGCTGGGTTTAGAGAGGGGGGGGGGGGGGGGAAGGAAACCAACAAACGGGTTGTGAATCAGCTCTCCGGGTCTCTGCGCAGCTCTCCGTCTACTTCATGGTCCCGTCCGCGGTCGGTTTGAATGAACGAGAGTGTGACAAATACCAGCTTTGGCGAGGAAGTCGTTACAAACACACAGACAGGCGCTCATAAACAATCAATTTGCATTTAGATGAAGGAAAGCGGACATGAACCTGCTGTCCAACGGGGGCTGGCGACGGCTCTTATTCAAGTTCCTCACACGTGACGCGGGAGGGGGAGACGAGTGAATGCAGTTTGCTCTCCTCCCGTGTGCCTCCGATGATTATTAAGGGAATGCCGATGCAGTCTGACAGCGCTGATGATGATGATGATGGACGAGGGTGACGATGATGCTGATGCCTCCTCCTCTGTGATGTCCCTCAGGTGCTGAACGAGGCGGTAGGGGCCATGATGTCCCACCCCATCACCCTCCCCAGAGAGGACTTGGAGAAGTTCAAGGCGCTGCGCATCGTCATCCGCATGGGAACCGGTTTTGAAAACATGGACACAAAGATTGCGGGCTAGGTTGGTGAGACCCGGGGGGGGGGCGATGCCGACGGCGACGGCGAGAGGGAGGAAGATGAGATGTGAAAGGGGATGTTGTTCAGGAGCCGGCAGTCATCGATTATCCCTCGTTTTTAGTTTTATCTGCCCTTATGGAGACAGAAATAATGCATTGTGGGTAAAGGTGGTGCACGTTTGGATGGGGGCCAAACCAAACTCTGCTCGCTTTATTGACTCAACATAAATAACACATGGAGCAGGAGTTATTACATAGTGTTAACAGAATATGTAATGCTGATTGCATATGCAGAGCAGATGCTCCCACTGATATGAAACCCGACCTAATATTCCCATTTGGCCCCTTCGGCATATGTTTGCTGTGAGAGCCGGATTTAGTGTGATATCCTAATTATTGTCGTTTGTGGTAATGTATCTTAGTTTGCTGACATACATTTTTGGAGAAGTGCACTTTTCATCGGCATAATTAGCAGTTTTAATTATCTTCTTATCCTTCACAGTTCTGGTTTATACGCAGTGCATTTTTATTTTTTTGCAGGGTCATAAAGCACAAGATTTTCCTCCTAATTATTTTGTAACTAATCAACTACAGCTACAGTAATTCCAACCAGTTATCATACCTTTTTAAATCGGGGAAGCGATTACTTTGCTAGTAACTTGCAGGCTGTGTGTCCTCCAGTTTCTTCACTTTTCTCCGCCCTCTGACCTTCCCGCAGGCATCGCGGTGTGTAACATCCCCTCGGCAGCTGTAGAAGAGACGGCGGACTCGACGCTTTGTCACATCCTCAACCTGTACCGGCGAAACACCTGGCTGTACCAGGCTCTCCGGGAGGGCACGCGGGTCCAGAGCGTGGAGCAGATCCGGGAGGTGGCGTCGGGGGCGGCCAGGATCCGAGGAGAGACGCTCGGCCTCATCGGGTTCGGTGAGCTCCTCCTCTCCTTTTAGGCAATGGGTCGATTCCTTCGATTGGCTGCGACTTTACACTTTTTAAATGAAATGGTTTCTAATGGAGCTTCCTTCAGTGCTTCGGTACTTTGTATCAGTCGCTTGCTAATTATCCATTCGTTACATTTTTACCGTGTTTCCAGGTTATAAATTTGATTAACTCGCTTTACTTAATTATTTTCGGGAACTCGCCCAAAACACTATTTTCATTATTGACTAATCTACAAACCTGCTGTCGGCTCTGCCAAGCTGGACACGAGCCCGGTGATGCTTTGAGCTTATTGTTAACATCATAATGCCAAAAAGCCCCCAGTGACAATCCTGAAATGATGTCTAACATTTGCTAACTAGCATTAAACTTAAATGTAAAAAAAAATAAGATTTTCTTCTGTATTTGGTTATAAAAAACAAATCAACATTCAAATTGGAATGTGATGATACGTGACGATGTCATGCGACGAACTGAACCCTCCGTGCTTGCGTCAGGTCGCTCGGGCCAGGCGGTGGCCATGCGGGCCAAGGCGTTCGGCTTCAACGTGATCTTCTACGACCCCTACCTCCAGGACGGCTTGGAGCGCTCGCTGGGCGTCCAGCGGGTCTACACGCTGCAGGACCTGCTCTACCAGAGCGACTGCGTCTCCCTGCACTGCAACCTGAACGAACACAACCACCACCTCATCAACGACTTCACCATCAAACAGGCAAAGTGTGATTGTACATCTCAACCCTTGAGTGATGAAAGACACGCGAACTTGCTGTTGCTTTCTCGCATTAATTGAGATGTGAGACCGAAAGCTTCCAACTTATCCCAAAACTGATGAAGCTTGATTAGCGGATAAGTTCCTCCTCGTTATCCTGCTGAAGCAATTTGCACATTGTCTTCAATGGACTCCCGGAGATTTAACTCATCGGGATGTCATGTGACTCGGCCACCGGCGTTCCCGTCCTGCCGGCGCTGCTTTGTTTGCAACTTCCAATTATGGGCTGTTTTAACAAGCTTGTAATGAGTGGAAAGAGAAAAGATTAAAACCAAAAAAAACAGCACATGCAACGACGCGGAGGCGTTTGAAGAACCTCTAATGGGTGCATATATTAGGGGTGGGTGGTGGCGCGGCGCCGTTGGTGGGAAGATTCCCTGTAATCAGTTTGTTCTTTCTCTCAGTTTTGTCGCGCTCAGGGCAATGTGACCCAAACATGCCGAAGTGTGTGTGTGTGTGTGTGTGTGTGTGTGTTCTTGGGCCTTTACTTCTCTTTTTTGGGGGGTGAATTCTTACGTGTTTGTTTCGGTAAAAATGTAAACAAGTAGTTTAGACGCATAAAGAATATTTAATATGATCTAGTTGACGTAAGAAAATGTGGTGCGGTTTGAATGTTATTTTAATGCAGCACATCACACCTATAGATCAGTTCTTTAAAATGATCAATGGAAGAAATACTCTTTTATCCACTGTCTCTTCTCCTGATTCCCTGCTGCCACCTGCAGGAAATACATTTAACTGTTGTCCGTCTTAAATCCACTAGTTTTATAACAATCTAATATATTGGTGTCAAGTTAAAGATGACGTAAGTTCGTCGTTGAGTCCCATTTGCTCAGTGTCATTTTAAATGTCCCTGTTTTTTAAAGAGCTTTTGTGTCACTTATGTGTTGAGCTTTTATAAAATATCGTCCCATGCAGCACTGAGCCAATGACAGCCCCTCTCAGTGGGGCGGATCTCAAAGCCACACACATTAATCGCTGATATTATTACTGAGTTTTTTCTTCTTTCCGTGTCCGTAGATGCGTCAAGGAGCTTTTCTGGTCAACTCGGCACGGGGGGGTCTGGTGGATGAGAAAGCTCTGGCTCAGGCCCTGAAAGAGGGCCGGATACGGGGAGCTGCCTTGGACGTTCACGAGTCAGAGCCTTTCCGTGAACAAAGCATACTATGTTCACCAATATTTGTGTGAGGAATATTGTCAACGCACGTGTGCATAAACTCCCCAAAGATATCACAACTGGTTTAAAGGGAATCTCTGTTTCTCTTTCTCTGCACAGTTTTTCCAAAGTGGTCTGAAAGACGCCCCCAACTTGATCTGCACCCCCCACACGGCCTGGTACAGCGAGCAGGCGTCCCTGGAGATGAGAGAGGCCGCCGCCACGGAAATACGGCGAGCCATCACAGGTACGCCCCCCCCGCCTCCACCCCTGCCGCCGCTCGTGCATTTCTGGGGTCGCCGTGCTCACCCATGTTCCCCTCTCGCCCCGACACGCAGGCCGCATTCCCGACAGCCTCCGGAACTGCATCAACAAGGAGTTCTTTGTGACCTCGGCGCCGTGGGGGATGATGGAGCAGCAGCAGCAGCAGCAGCAGCAGCAGCCTCAAGTTCACCCGGAGATGAACGGTGCCACCTACAGGTAGGAGGGGGGCGAGGCTGGGGGGGGGGGGGGGGGATCTACACTGAGGCTCAACCCGCGCGGGATGGAGACGGGGGTGTATAGCCCAGATGTTCACATGATGTATGTTTGCCACACAATTTCTTCCTTTTGCGGCGCGGGTCGAAGTCGGGCCGAGTGAACTAATCCCCTGGTGAGTTCAGGTTCTCCACATTGTCTCAACCAGAATGAACTGCTTCTCTCACACAGCCGAATGGACCAAACCATGGTACAGGGCATAGCAACGGGGAGAATGCAGGACAAAATATATACCTAATTCTCGACCAGGTAAATGAACGCTGCCGCTGCCGGCCCACAGGTCAGAGCAAAATGAATGACATCATTGATAGCAAACAAACAAGTCCCATTGAAATCTGTGCCCCCCCCCCCACACTCCCCCCGCACTCCCTCCTTTTCTGCTTCACACTCACATGTCCTGTAACTGTGCCCCCTCCAACCAGCATCTCATTAATCCACTAAACCATTATTAACATGGGGACATTATCAAAGAAGTGGACATGCGTTTAACGCTGCATCTAAGAATCACTCTGCAGTCAGAAGGGAATTAGATTGCGTCATTCAGGTAAAGAAAGAAAGTAATCTTTTTTATAACGCTCTGCAACAGACCTGGAATATTGTGATTTTCTTATGTTCAGACAAGAATTTCCCTTTCAGATCCCTGTAATGAAGGATCAGTTCACCCAAATTATAAAAAAAATAAGAGAAGTCACGTGGGTTCCGTTATTTGCAAGCAAACATGTATAAATATTCCTTTTCCTTGTAAATCCAGATTGTTTTCCAAGGTTTGCGCGTGAATCCAGCATCTGTTTACAGAAATGACCACAAAACAAACACATCGTTCAAATATTTTTGAAATTTGGGTGAATGACCCCTTTAAATCCTTCCTTAATCCAGATTAGGACCTCTAACATTCTCACGTAATGCCTCGACCCTGCAGCGCTCCTTGTTAAGTCATGTGATGTTTGCTAAATCTTTAGTTTCATCGAGCTGATGATGACAAAGTTGTTTTATATTCCAACATCATCAGTATGTAATTTGTTGTTTTAATTGACAATTTTAGCCATTTCATGTGTTGATTTGGTATCAAATATTATTTCAGGTAACTGATAATTCATCAGCAGAAATTTTCCAGCATTTGTTTTTTTTGGGCCATTTTGTAAAATAAAAACGTCCGCTTTCAGTTTTTCTTTGTTCTTGTTCACCAGCTGATCTTCTCCTTTCCTTCTGCAGATTCCCTCCTGGCTTGGTGGGTGTCGCCCCCGGCGGGATTCCCGGACCTCTGGAGGGGTTGGTGCCTGGGGGGTTGCCCATCGCCCACACCCTGCCCCCCGGTATCCATCCGTCACAGGCCACCTCCCCCAACCAACACTCCAAACATGGCGACCACATGAGAGAGCACATGACTGAGCCGTAGGGCGGCCGGTGTAACCGAGCAGGCGGCTAAAACCACACACGCACACGCACACGCACACACACACACACACACACACACACACAGCAACTCTAAAAGCATCCGGGTGTACGCTTGACTTCAGTCCATCTGAACCCAGCAGCAGAACCGCTGGTGTGAAACCACTGCGCCCGAGTGAGGACAGCGGGTGTTTAATGCCGCCACGGCGAGACGGAGCATCACTCGGGAAACCTTCTCCTCCCGCCTATCTGTTCCCGTTGATTTCATTGATTCTGTTTTGATCCTAGTTTTTTGGGGGGGAACAGGGGGGGGCTTTATGGGAGATTCCTCCTGACTTTTGGGACACGTTGACATTTCGACGTGCCGGACGGAAATCTGACCCTTGCTTCTCGGTTTGAAGGAAGCGCTCGGAGGGAAAGTGACTTCACAAACACTCGGTCGAGCCTCCGTTTCCGCCTCCTCCTCCTCTTCCTCCTCCTCCTCCTCGCTCGTTAATTACACCCATCTCTGTGCAAACATGTCTGTTACTAGGGTTTTTTTTATATACCTTCCTGTGTTTATCCTATATTATGTGTTTCTGTTGCAGGTGAATATTTGTTTGTCGGTTCTCCAGTGGGGGGAAACGGATTTATGGGTTTAGCGGAGAACAAAAGTCAGCTGACGAACAACAGCAGCGTCTTCTGTCTCCATCCGAAACGTGGACGTGGTCATTGCTCGTCCCTGCATGTTGTGTGGTTGGTTGGCCCCTGAATGTAGAGACGAGATTCAGAGCATTAGATCCGGTTTCCAGTTCTTAAAGTAAAAGTGACACTTTTAAAACAAAAGCAACAAAGAAAAAAGGATAGAGACTGTACATGAAACTTGTCACACCGATTCAATATTGCTGATGAAACATTTCCAACTGTGCTGAACTGAGGTACCTTCAATATGTGGTTATTGTCATGAACTGTGTCACAAATATTTGCCTCTGAGGGACTTACAACACCAGCTAGCGAGGAAAAACAAAAACAGTAAATGTCTTACTGACTCAGGAAGGAATGATCAACCCCCACAAATATCCCCCACTCAAAACAGAAAGCGGAGAAACTGGATTATTGCTTTTTCGTGTCTCCACGTCTGTCTCCGTTGTGATTTTATTTTTATTTTTTTTCATATATCAAATGTACGTTTTTTTGATGTTCAAGGTTTTTCGGCCCCGTCAGATTCGTATTGCCTCGTTAAATGTTCTTATAATCATCGTCTTACGTGAGCGTCCCCGGCCTCTCCCGTTTATAGTTTTCTTCCGCTTTGTTTTCCTGCTCTAATGAAAGACCCCGGTGACGCCAGCAGGAGACGGCTGCTGGCAGGTTGTTTGGTTTTTAGTGTTGAGTGTTTGTGTTTTTTCTTGTACAAGGTGAACATATAGCATACCGTGCAGCTGGAAACAATAAATAAAAACTTACTGTCCTGATTGATGATTGGCTCTGTGAAACATTCGTGGGATATTCTTTTTTTCACATTTTTTTACAGTTATTTAAAAGATACTTAAAAATCCTTGTTACGGGGTTTTCAAAGTCTGACGCTGTCAATGTCAGTTATGTCGAGGAATATTTATTGTGCAACAATCATAAAAAAGGTTCATAATGATAGCTTTTGTCACTCCTATTATTCTTATTTGCTAGATAATCATGCTTTAACCTTTGAAAATACCCATCATTCTTGTTTACAGGCTGTGTTTTGTGTAAATCATGCGGAGTTGCTTGAGTTGCCCGTTTTTCTCCTTTTTTTAACCTATTATTGTTAGCTGTTTGGCAAATTGACATCAATAAAAGTAAAATGATTAGCTATTAGCAGTTCCTGTTTGCAATGTACCCATTAATATACCGACAACCGTCACTGGATAACTTTGATACTGTAGAAATCAAATAAACGTGCTGATTCTGAAGTTCTGGAGTTAAAAGTCTTTCAATTATTCTAAGCAGATTTAGGACATTTGATTTGCGATGGACATAAGAGATGATGATGGAAAAGTTGTACTTACTAAAACTACATTAACCCACTTGGGGCTGTTATCAAGCTTGCAGCTCTCAACTGCTTCTATGAAACATTATACAAAACATTCTTTATTATTTTTATTGAATGAAACTTTACGTTTGTGATTGCTTGTCTTCTGATGTATGATATACTTTATGACAAACAGCAGGACTTTTAAGTTTTTTTGTGATATTTTCTGGTCTTTTTAATAGTATATTAGATTTCTGAAGCTTAGCTTTTTTTAGTTTTTAATGACTTTTGAAAACATGATATATTGCTTTTTTATGACTTTTAAGAAAAACTAGTATGATTTCTCTTGACATACCATAGTATGACTTTTTCATGATAACATACTATACAATGACTTAAAACAAAAAGATTTCTCTTTAACATGCTGCTTTTTAATGATTTATTTCACGTGCATTGCAATTTCTTAATGACTTTTTTCATCAAGATGTCGTTACAATGAAGTTTTTCAACACTGACTTAAAAAAAACTTTTGTTATATATTATATGTCATAACATGATACTATGACTTTGGTCGGAATAATTGTTTTTCATATGTATGTATGTATACATATATATACATAACAGAAATCATTCGATTTTATGGTGAAGATTATGGTAAAGTTGGCTCTGGATCGAGGTTGGAGTGATGATAAGGATTAGGCTGCAAGCAGTTATGCTAATGGTTAAGTCTCCATTAAATGAATGTAATATCCCCAAAAATCATGAAAACATGACTATAAGTGTGTGTGATCAAAGGTTCTAATGTATTATTACAGTCAAAAAAAGATACTATGTAATCAATCATTTATTATCTGTTAATACACTAGCTATGGGCGCTTCATGATACATCTTATAATCAACAGATAAATATATACTTAACACTTAAAAATATACGTATATCTGTGTACAACTACATTATAGTGTGTTTAAACAATTTAACATTTGTATACAGCTTCAAAATGCTAAATAGTTAAATAAGTAAACAAGTCTTAAATATAGAAATTGTTTTTCGGTCACACATTTTGAACCCAGTAGAGCGCGCTACAATCAGACACACGAGTTAGACACAAACGGTGCATAACTGACCTTCTGTGAACCCAACAGCCATATTTAAAGACACAGCTAGTGACATAATGAGGATGATGGATGCGTTTTCTCCACCAGTGTATCACAGCACTCGTGGGACGAAGTAACACAAGCAATAACTGAGAATACCAGACAGGAAAAAGCTCGGTTGGACATTCAAAAAAGGGTTTCCTTTATTTCTTTTTTCTTCCTTATTTTTCCTGTTCATTGCGTTACACACTCATTGCGTATAGTAAAGTCAGGCCTAAATCCACAAACCATCATAGTCACAGCTGCAACTATTGCATAAATACAAAGCAACATACAAGTGATACTCAAAATGCGTATGACTTGAATGAGAAGAATTTACAGCACGCAATGGCAAGAAAAACAAACCAAAAAGCGAAAACATTCACAGCAAAAAAAGTAACGTGTTTTTTTCTTCTTTTTTTTTTTCCTGTCAGCTTTGGTTTTATATGTTGCAGTTACATGATGAAGAACAGAAAGACGGGAGCTACACAGGAGGTGAACGGACGTGTACCACGAGGGGGGCGACCTTTACAACCAATGGACAAAGGGACAAAGATGAGACAAGTGTGACGCGGGGGGGAGGGGGGTCATGTCTCAAACTTTCCTGCCTAAAAAGTAGCACCAAATTTTAGGCATCCAGATGAGGTACTAAATCACACACAACAACGCGAGTAAACTTTTCATTGATGGTCATGATTGGTTTTCTTCACAGCAACAACGTTGCTCAATCAAGTTTGAGAGAATAATCAACAAAACCACACGAGGAGGAAAAATAAGACGCACAGAAAAAAAGCTCTTATAAGCTCATATAAGTTTCCAAATAATAAATATGTCGAGTAAGTTCAGAGAAGAAAAATAAAACACACACACACACACACGCTCACACAACCTTTCAGTTCAATCGGTCTGAAAAAAGGTAAACCAAAACATCCAACATGAATGTTTGTGTACTAGAACTTACTGAGTGTAGATTTGCCGTGAAGGGAAGATCTCCCCTTTCGAGAGCTTCATATACGACCGTAATTCAAGCAATGATACTGTATTCATATAGAAATGTTTTCATAAATGTGCAATGCTTAGTAGTAAGAATTTAAGTCATTTAGTATTACACAATCTCTGGGTTTCTGAGGATAATGATAACTATTGGCTTCGTCCAGGCCCCTTCAAAAAAAACAGAAAACAGATGATAAACAAGCCAACTCTTAAAAAACAATTTGGAAGTGTGCTTTTGTCAGTGCCACACTGAACAGATATAAAGTGTTGATTTGAATTAATGCTGGTATATTTCCGTATACACTTTTTTTTCCTTAAACAACCACATGCATTTACATCTATGGATAAAGAGTCCTTTTTTTCCCCATTTCCCAAATTTTACATTTGAAAATCAAAACGAATCAAAAAGGTAATTTGCATTGGTAAACCTCCATCCTCTCCCCCAAACCTGCGTTTGGCCGCAGTTGGCTTGTTCAGTCTTTACTTTAGTGTTTTCGTGTGTGTTTTCGTGTGTGTCCGAGTGCCTGCGTGTGCTGGAGGAGCAGCAGCGTGTCCCGTTACCGGTGCTGGGGGGCGGGCTCGTGGTTCCCCGTCCTCTCCTGAAGGCGCTCACAGTTTGTCCGTGTAAGCAAAGAGCGAGAGAGGGAGAGAGAGAGAGAGAGAGAGAGAGAGAGAGAGAGAGACCTCCCTCCCGCCGCACTCCAGTTTTGTCACTCGTCCTCGTCGTCTTCCTCCTCTTCGCCGTCGGACAGAGAGGCACAGGGGCGGATCTGCCGGTAGCCGTCCAGCCACTTCTCCACCATCTGGGTGACCAGAGGGTGGTTGCGGCGGCGGGAGCTTTTCTGAAGGGCCACCAGGACCCCGCCCTCCGTCACGCAGCAGTCCAGCCACTCCCGCAGCAGCTTCTCCTGCTGCTCCTCGTTACCCATCTGAAGGACAAGTAAGGAAACAAGTGCGGGGCATCAGAGGGCGCGTCATCACTCGCCTCGTCCTGGATTACAGACAAGAATTGTGTTGACACAGTGGGAGGAAGGGTGTGTGTGTGGGGGGGGTTCTTACTTCCTGCGCTGAGAGGAAGTGAATGTGAAGCAGCTTCCTCTCGCTGTCGACCAGCGGCAGGAAGGTGACGGTCACGTCGTCGTCCGTGTTGAGGTTGGCGCCCGCGCCGCGGTTGTCGAAGCCGTCGTTCTCCATGGCCACCAGGGCCGAGAAGTGGCCCCGCGTGTAACCCAGAGCGATGGGGCTCTTCCAGCAGAAACTCTGCTCCCACAAAAGGGGCAAGTACACACCTGGAGGGAGACAGAGAGAGAGAGAGAGAGAGAGAGAGACAGAGAGAGAGAGAGAGAGATGGGTTTGATGTTTTATAAAAATCTAATTTAACAGAGCAGAGGTTGTGAAGTTAAAGGTCGGCTGTGGATTTGGGTACAATTCATTTTGCTCCATGTAAATACAAGTGTTGTGTCTTGTTTGAGTGTAACTAATTACAGTTTCGTGCTTAAATGTATACGGGATTTTTAAGTAATTGTAAAAGTGTTTTCTAAAATCTAAGTATAAAGACACATAAAATAAAGTATCTCACTGAAGTGCCCCAAATGTAAATTGTTCCATTCCACCAGTGGAACATTGTCAATGTTAATGACATTCCTGTAAAGCACAAAACAGAGCTGATGTGAACAGCGTTCTCCTCCCTTCTCTGTGGACCACCACATGCACGTCTCCCTCGTGTGTGTTCTCCATCGGCTCCTGGCGACAGTAAATCAGGGATCTGTCCCGCAGGCTTTACTACGAGCGGTCGGCCATTACCGAGCACTTTCATCCTCCCATGCGCCGCATCGACGGCCGACGGAGCCAAAGCTTTGTTTTACTGCCGTAACCGGAGAGCCGGATTGTTTCTGATGGTTTACACGTGTTCACGTCTATCTGGTGTGTGTGTGTGTGTGTGTGTGTGCGCGCGCTCCTATGCAGTGGTGACTGTAAATTAGTGCTCAAGTACAAATTGGAGGTGCTTATTTTTATATTTTAGCCCACTTCATTTGTCTCACAGTTACTGGTCAATTCACAGATGACATTTTTGTTTCGCACACAACCCGATCAGTGACACACGTGTACCTCTAGATTTGGTGATTTTGTTTGTTCCTCAATGGGTCGAGAAATATTCCTTAAACAATTTATAAACAATTTGAAGCGTCATAGTGATGCTATCATAGAATATGAGCAATTACTTTACATTCAACTACCCAAAGTAAGCTAAAAAACACATGCAAGTTGGAGATTTTTCACAAAGGAAAATCTATTTATCTATATTTTACTAAAACAACGTCAAATAGCTCCTCACCTTGAAAACGGGTGTACCCGAGCGTTTCGCCACGGAAACTTTTGTAATACTTCACTCCATAGACGATAATTGGCCGACGAAGAATGTGTGCGAGAACAAAAATGTGGGTCTGCTCCAAGCTGGATCCTGGCTGTAAAAAGGAAAAGAGAAAACAATGGTTAAAAATCAGGTAACTACAGAGCAAGGATTTATTTTAAATATACGGTACATTCCAGGCCGGATGCACCGTCAAAAAGGGCGTTACTGACTAAATGTACTGCGTTAAGAGCGGTGTGCCCTCTTGCATAATTCGTACACCATTAGCGTGTCCATCAAGTGAATGCGTCCGCTTGTCTCCCTGTGCGTGTACCTGACTAGCCAGGGAAAGGATGAACGCCCAGTCCTCCTGCCACTGTTCCTCCTGAAGGGAAAAGTGCAGGCCGAAGCTCTGGGAATACCACGACTCCCACTCCTTCCAGCGGGTGTAGAACCTGCAACCCGACACCACAAACACACACAAATACTGTTTTGCCCGTTGACGATAACCGGCCGCGCTGCGCTGACAGGCGTGTGACTGCGACTCGTCTCTGTTGTGGTCTCGGTGGGATGGCACATAATCATTGTATCGAAAATAGTCATTTTCTCACTTTAAAACCCACAGTTTCTTGGAAACGGACATGTGTCCAGCTGGGCTTTTGTGTTCAACTAGAATCAGGATTGGCTTTGCTTTGAACTCTTCCAGAGCTCCCAACGCTGCACTTAAGACTCATGCAACTGGTCTAAACCCCCCCAAAAAAGCCTCTTATTTACAGATCAAAGTCTCAGTTCTCTGTATAAGACGGGGATCCAAACGGGATTCCTGTGTATACATCCCAACCTCTGAACCATATGTCACTATGTCAAACATAGTCATGCAAGGTTAAAGGCAAACAAAAAGTAACTTGAGAACAAGTATTGAGCTGAGAGTGAAATTCAACCTGCTCCCCTTCTGTGAACATTACTGTGGAAAAGACAGATGTTTAAAGTGTAAAAACAAACATGAATCACATATGAATGTTTTGTTAATGCTGCGATGGTCCAAAATGTAGTATAAAAAGCCTTATGCAGTTTATCTATATAAAAATAAATACAGCGTAGGGACCTCTTTGGCCCACATTACAGTCTGAAAACGTTTTTCCTTTAGCAGCAGCACGTGAGCACCAACTCACCACCACCGCTGACGTCTGTCCCTCCACTGATGGTGTGTGGTGCATTACACCGCTCAGCCTGCTTCCTAAGGCCGCGCTGCGTTCACAGAAAAGGGAAGATGAAGCACCGCAATCGGCAGCGCGCAGCACTCACCAGTGAGAGCAGTCGTGCAGGCAGTCGTGGAGGGTCTTGCGCAGCACTGAGTCCTTGTCATAGATGCCCCACGTAGCCTGCAGCACAGAGTCCAGGAGACAGTCGCCGGCCGTGCGGTTCCACAGGGCGTACAGCCGGCTGTCCAGCCTGGTGCCGAGCTCCAGGGACCAGTTGATGATGGGCGACTCCTCTTCGAGTTCTGAACAGAAGGGGGAAGAGAGGTTGAGTTCCGCATCTCTTTGCAGAACCTCGGTGGTATTGAATGTTTTACCACAAGGGGAACCGATTGCGGTGAAAAGTGTGTATTGAGGTCATAGTTATTTACCAGATGCAAGGCAGGTGAGGCCAATTGGAAGGACTGTTTGGGAGCGTTAATGACCACTCACACCCATTATCGCGGGACAATCAACATATGTAAATAAATGTACAGTGTTCAAATGTCTGTGTGGTATTTGCTAATATTTAGGACATCAACGTCTCAAGTGAAAGAATTGGTGTTCCACACAATTCCACACACGCTCCAAAAGCAGAACTTTTTTCCATTTTCATCCTTATGCCCTGAAAAATGAATGCTTGGGAGACAGTGTCACTCTGGCTTTGGCTCAAATACATTAACAACATGTTTCAGGGCGCAAAAAAAAAAATTGAGATAGATCCATTGCTTCAAAGTATTAAAATAACATTTGGATTGCATCCAGATCCCCAGGATCCCTGTACATATCCTTAAACAAGAAATATGCCTTTGAAGAGGAACTTCAAGCAGAGAAGACTTTCATGATATGCTCAGACCTGATTTAGTCACACAGAACTTCTTCCAAGAAACTGCAAAGAGCATAACTTGTCATTCAAAGACGTGTCTGAGGACGAGGCTGAGAGTGCAGAGAGAGAGAGTCCCTGTGACGCAGCAGGGAGAGAATATCCCTTACTTCAAAAACAAAATGATGTCAGCGCGACCAAGATCTCTGAGAGGGACGAGGTCCTCCAACAAGAAACGTGACCTGGAAAAAGACTTGAAAAAGCATGTCTGCCTTGAACGTTAAAACCCAAGAGACTTTTGGTGTGAGCATACGGCTGCGAGAGAGAGAGAGGGAAAAAAAGGGCCTGCTACATATAATTCAGCTCAACATCAGGCTCCAAACGCACACAGATCTGTGGATGCAGAATCAGCCGAAATTCTGAGCCAAGAAATAGATGACCTTCTAAAGAAACTCAAAGAGTGATTAAGGACCGTAAACTCAGAACCTGGGAAAGGAGAGGCAGAAAAACTGCTACAAAGAAAAGGCCTCCGTGAACTACAGGGAGACACCGAGTACCCAACATGTGACACATTTATTAAAATAGACACACAACCGAGGGGATGCAAAAATCATTCAATGCGCATCAGAGGACTGCTTTAAAAAAACCTAATTAGGCTAATTAGCGCAGACGCCATTGGTACCAGCCATGAAGACGGGCCGCCTGGCAGAATGGGAGACACAAGTAGTAGAAGACGGCCAGCGTTGGGCAGCCGACGCTTTGTGAGGAAGCTCCTTCTGTTTTCCAGGCCAGAGCATCGTTTCCGTCTGGGATCTGGTTTCTCTCTCAAAGTGGATCCATGTGTAAGCACAGCGTGTGAGAGATCGTTGCAACAACACTTAGTCGCAAAGAGGACGGAGTAAAGATCTCACCTTTTTGTACGTCTCGGTCCAGCACCTCATCGAAGAGTTTCTCCTGAACGGCCGGGGGCAAGTCCTCAATGTCTGGCACAAGAAAACAACAAATGGGAATATAAAAATCAGAAGAGGACATAATTAGAGGGGACACAGATGCAGAGGGAATTTAATTTTGTAGGATTTATTGGCAGAAAAAGCTCATTTAATACAGAGAAACCTTTTAGACCGAGTGTTCTTACTGCGTTCGCTCATTAAAGGTGCTTTTCTTTATTAATTAGACATGTAAACGTTAATATATTTTCATAAAATTAAACAGGTAGATTCTTTGACATTACTTAAGTTTCGGTGGCAGTCGCCAAAGAAAAGGACATCAAAATGCCCGGAGAGAGCGTCACGCTGCGAACATCCGGATCAAGCCAACGAAAGCCGCATCAGAGTTAGGAAACAGTGGCGCTGAACTCTACGCACTGCTCCTTTATTCCATGAATGTATTTACAACACTCAGAAATGACTGAAAATGCCAACTCAACTTTCTCCATGTTGACGCACATTGCAACTCAAGCCTGCATGCTTTGTTCCTTTCAGTAGCCGCTGGCTTTCGCTCGGCGACAAAGTAGCTCATTCTTCGGGAGCACAAAGTAGTTGCATTCATTTCTTTTAGCTGAAGAGAATGTCTCTCTATGGTGGCCGGGGTCTGCGTTGTCCTGAACAATCTAGGTAACACACTTAGCTTAGCAACAGTCGGACCCCAAATAGCTGTTGCACACAATAAAAATGGATGGAAATAGCACTGAATGCATGCAAGAGAGTCATTGGAAAAAACGCTAAATATAGCTTTGTCATGAGACATGCATCGCTTGCTGGCTGGCTGAATCGCTCAGTAGGCGAGGACTATACACAAAACTGTGTGCCAGAGATTGTCTCCGTCTCCTTCAGTCTGAGACACACAACCGGAGCAATCAGTCTCCTCAGCATCCGAACAAAAAGCTATTTTATGAGGCAGCCAGAGGAGCTGGCTCAACAGCCACAGTCACCCAAAGCACACGAAGTACACTTGGACAGCTTCTTTGTTCGCGGTGCTGACCTGCAGGCAGGGTGAAGGTAACCAAGTCAGTGAGGAAATAGCAGGTGAAGTCTCCCTTGCGCTGGTGAAGTGAGGCTGCCACCTCACGACGGATCTGCTCCGTCAGCTCAGGACACACCATGGCTGGAATACACTTGGCCGCCTGTTGGGACACCTGCAAAGAAAGGAGGAAGGCAAGGAAGTATGATCAAACGATGGAAAAGGAGTAGGTGAAAGAGGCCGACTCTGAGCAAAATCATTTCTAACAACCCCCCAAAAATGTTATATTTTACAAAATATTCTAATTAAGAAGGAAAGATGCAAAAAAACACAAACTCGAACAAAAAAACTAAAATTTGATAGTGAACTAAAGATCTCTAGTGTTATCGTTTAGTAAAGAATGCTTTGTGGGGGAAAGGTTTCGCTAGTAGGAATCGCACTACTTCCTTTTGGCTTTGTGGAATATGACTTCTGCGGACATACAGTGAGAACAACGTGGCTCCAAGTGAGATGAACCTTCCAGCATGGTGGACTCAGTGATCTGATCGAAATTCACCTTCACTAATGTCACTGTAGCCCAAGATGAGAAAAAGAAACGTATCCGTTTTCAAGCAGATGTCAGCTGGGAAGAATTTGCGGTGCATGAGCCAGCGGTTCGTCCCGGACCCCTCAGAAGAGGAACAGGCGCAGCGGCTTGAGTGTGGGAGGAGAGGTGTGTGCACGGATAATCTGGGATCACATTGCTGACGGCAAGCGAGCACAACCACACCGCTGACACACACACAAGCTCAGTGAGCCTTCGTGTTACATACACACACACACACACACACACACACACCAGGGAACCCAAAATCCTTGACATAATACGCTATCAGTCCCTTTTCTCTCCGCGGACCCTTTGCCCTTGTGATTTCCTCCTGGCTGAGCTCATTTGATGTCGACATAAGGAGACTTATGAAGAAGAAGCGGCATCGTTGCTGACCCAGAAACAAGCAAGGGTGTCATTTCCATTGTTTCCCTCAACTCCTTACAGTTCAGTTAGTAAAATGATTCTGCTCTGCAAATAATTGATGTGACACAACATGGCTAATGAAAGGCAAAGGGCCGACGCTTTGTATTTATCGAATGAGAATGATCCACACGGATCTACCCACGAGCGTACCTCTCCATCAGCCGAACACCTGCAGCAGCTGATTCCTGCAAAGACCAACGATCATACGTGTTGTCTCCACTGACCTCTGTGAGTAACACAGCCAGCATGTCCTGTCTCTGGAAGCGGATGGCTAGGTGAACCAGCGTGAAGCCGTCATCAAATGCTGAGGGGCGATTTAATAGACGCACCTCGTCCGACGTTAGCTGACGTGCAATGTCACCTCCCGACGACTTGTAGGCCTCCACGGCTGCCAGGTCACCTTCCACCACACCTTCCAAAGCAAGGGGGAAGGAAAAAGGGTCGCGTTAAATAAAACATTATTAAATGATGTACTTTAAAACGTGAGCTTTCATTGATGACGTTTTCATGAACACGGGATGAAAAAAATCGGAGAAGGGGAAAAAAAAAAAAGAATCAGATTATATCTTAAGTGATCGAACATGTTGAGCACTTAGGAATCACGTGGAGACTGTGTACAGCTGATGATGACAACACGGTCGTCTTAAGAACAACCTTGTTCAGAGGACATTCTGTGCTCCGCCACAAAGCAGAAAACACGGGAGATCACATTGTGCTTCATCGCCCTGGCAGCTGAAACAGCTTTGAGACTTCACTGACTTTGAAGTCAAGGGGAGGGGGGGGGGCAGATTGTAATCTGTCGGTTATTTTTTCCCCCTTAAATTATCTTCAGGGTTTGGATCTTAGCGTGAGGGGGCGAATGATGCGGCCGTTATATTACTATGTGACAGAAGCAGTTTGGGTCACCAACATATAAACTCAAGCGCTAATCGGGTCACAAAGACAATAACCTTGTTGCTTCTAACCTTGGTAAATAACTGTGAACTTGCGCATACTGCAAAGTGTAAATTGATTTTCAATGTCACGGAGAAAAGATCCATCTGATTCTAGCATAATACAGTAAATGCCCACGTGGTATTCTCTGGTACATTTGGCATTACACTGTTGAGCTTTTGTTGTTGCGTCAAAAGGACCACACACAATGCCCAGCTGCATAATGTGTGCGAGGCCGAGAGAGACGCGGAGTGGGTGGAAGGACTCGCTGTGCCATGCGGCGCTGGCTAGCACAGTTTTAACGAGGGGAGAAAGTACACAATAGCTGCGCGGCGTGCTGGAGTGGGATCATGAGCGCGTTCCACCCAACGCTCCATTAGCGTGGGCGTGCCCGCGGCGGTAATGTACCCACGGATCTTTTAGAGAACACAAAAAGAGCAAATGTGCAAGCAGACACTTAAAGACGGAGGAGAAGGGGAATGGATCGGGCCGAGTGATGCTGGTAACCGCACACGTTCCTTTCTTTGTGTTACGGGGACAGCCGCTGCCTCCGTCACAGGAGGACTGCGGGTGAGTGGGGAGCACGGTCGTCACCCAATCAGAGGGTTGGCGGTTCGATCCCAGGCCCGGCTGACCTGCGTGTCGATGTGTCCCTGGGCAAGACACTTAACCCCAGCATTGCTCCTGTAGCGGTGACTACAGTGTGTGAATGTTAGTTACTGATGGGCCGGTGCCACTGTGTATGGTTCTCCTATCATCAGTGTATGGATGATGTCCCAGCCCCATGTGCCTTTTAAAGCATTTTAACCAACAAATTGAATCTTTACATTCTTAGAACAAACACAAGTGAGAGAACCTCCAGTTCTAATTTATTTTATTTTTAATCTTTAATCTTATCTGTACATTTCCCTTACTTAGATTTACTCTGTAAAGTGTATTATTATTATTATCATCATCATCATCATCATCATCTTGCGATGGGATTAGACCAACCGCGATGCCGAATTGGACCGGGGGGGGGGGTGAAGCGTGGGTGGAGAGGCTGGGTCAATTCCACAAACACAGATCTCCAAACCCGGCCCTCGTTGACTGCATTTTACACGGTGACGATGCCGCCGCAGCGACTAAATCTGGAGACGGCGAGACGGACACACAGAAATATCGACAGCTGGCAGAGAACTCAAAACAGGATCTGTGGTGGGAAACAACAGAAGCGCCGCTGTCACGGCTCATAAGAACATACAGCTCCGGTGAAATTATTTCAACTCTTTTTGGTTTCTTTCTATTGATTTTAAGTGTGGGTCGCTTTGGACGAATGTGGGCACACTTACAGTGGTGTCAATCAATAGGCATCGTCCCACGAGTACCCCATTGGCATGACTGTTTTAGAAAATGTGAAAAATCATTCATTTTTAGTGAAGGAAATTAGAGCATCAATCAGAAATTTGAGGCCACTGTTTACAAACAAGGATGTCGATACGTCAAAGACAGGAAAACCGGCCCTGGCAACAGAGGACGGACACACTTGCATCTCCTAAAAACCAAAATGCCCTGCACACAATCAGGAAACAAAATTTTGTGCGGCAGTTTCCCGAATTATATCAGGAATTTGCTGGCAGTAAAGATTCAAGAAGCTCACAAATGCTGAAAGAAATTAAGAGTCGCTCACATCAGACGGAAATTAATCGCGGCAGCTGCTACATCGGGATATCAAATATACGTGTGGCTGTAAAATGTGTGCCGTCAGTGTGACACCGAAGAACTGATTGTCAGAGGCATGTGTATGGGGGAAAAAAAGCGCCTGGCGGCTGGGTGGGTGGGTGTGCAGGGGCATCTCTACGGAGTCATGGCGAAGGGATGAGAGCAGTTAGAGGAAACAAAAATACATCACTGGTTGTTCTTAAAATGTCCATTTTACCTCCCACTCCGCATTCACCAGTGGACTGAGTGGGCGGCCGGACACCGCTTGTGTAGGATTTCCAAAAGCCGAATGCAGGGGATTTCTGAGCATTTACTTTAAAGTAGCGTCAGGAGGACACAATCAGCTCATCTTAAATTAAGATGAGCTGATTGCAACAGAAATTATATTTTTACCAATTACCTTGCAGATATATCAGTCACACAAATTCAAAAATTTCTATTTTCCCGCTGACCTGCCTTACGTCATTCAGTTGACTTATTGCCCCCCTCACAACATTGAAAAACACGAGGAAAACAAGCTGAATGTGCAAAACCATAAATAAAATCGTATTCCGGAAACTCACCGACACAGGCATTGAGGAACAGCCAATCGGTCCTTCTCATCCTGTTCTTAATCTGCTTCAGTTTTTTGAAGTCCACCTCCAGCTCCTCTTTGCTCCCAATCCCGGCCCCCGATGCCACTTCAATCCTCTGAAAGTCCATGTTTACCTCGGACTCCCGCTTTGAGGTCGGGGGCGACCTCCTTTGGCTGCCGCTACAACCCACCACGCCGCTTACCACACTCCCGACTCCTTGCCCAACCACGGCTCTCCTGTTGTCCCTGTCCTGCTCAATGCGTCTAGAGGTTGGTTGTTGGGTCTCTGGCTCTGATGCCAGCTCGATGGGTTCGGTCCGGATGCTATTGGGCCTCGGGTGATCACACACCACACACTTGAGTGCCGTGGCCCAGTTCTCGTAAGTGCAGGCAGTGCAGGTCCAGTGCTTCGCACGTGTGTTGAGCCGGTTACGGTCATTGTATTCCTCACAGGGGTCTGTAGTGGTGGCCGACGGTGCAGGGCGGCACCCGGAGCCGGAGGTCTGGGGGGATTCTGTGGGGCTGCGTGGCTGCCGGGCGTGATGTCCTTGATGGGTTGAATGTTGCCCGTGCTGCTGTTGAGCCTGGTGTCTCTGGCAAAGGCACTGGGTGCATCGGATGGCCCGAGGCCAGTTCAAGTAGGTGCACATGTGGCACGACCACTTGCTACTAGTCTCCGGTACATCGGCGATGCGTATGCGGGGTCGGGCACTGGAATCTGGACAGATAAGTAAGCTGGAGCCCCCCTGGGTCGGGCTGTTGCTGAGGCCAGCAGGGTCCCACTGGTGCAGACTGGCATCCAGAGCAGGGCTGCTCTTGAAAGGCTCTTCCGTAATGATGGCACCCCCGCTGGGCCTCTGAGCACGGCACATGGTGCACTTGATGGCCGACGGCCAGTTTTCGTATGTGCAGTATTCACAAGCCCACTTGGCGACCAGCTCGGTCATCGTCGCACCGCCACCGAAGGAGGCTTCCCGCCCTTCAGAGGGGATTCGCAGCTTGGCAGATCCACTCTTGAGGAGATCGCACAGCAAGCAGCACACTGGGGTGTAGAGGAAGAATATATAGATTTAGCAGAACGCCAAATAACTATATTAAACTACATGGTTTGCATTAAGGGAAATGCATCCAAATAGACAAAAGTATGGTGATCAACTTTTTGTATTGTTGGACATAAACAAAACCTAAACAAAGCCTGTTTCATTGCAGTTACCTGTGCCACTAGGCTGCTGGGAGATTTACTGTCAAACACAAAACACAGCTGTTTACTCGCAACAACAACAACAACAAATCAAAAGGGAGCGATATTCAGTGACTCACAAGGCACCAATAGTGAATCTCCGCAGTCCTGTAAAAACCCGACACCGACTTTAAAGGACACACAGTGAGAGAGAGAGAGAGAGAGAGAGAGAGAGAGAGAGAGAGAGAGAGAGAGAGAGAGAGAGAGAGAGAGAGAGTTCTATGCACCGGGCGTAATGTGTCCTACCAGCGAGCTGAGTAACCAGAGACAAGGACACACGAAACCGGACACCCGGCAGGGAGACGCGTGACCGGTGGAGACACTTAACGTTACTGATGCGCTGAAACCGAATTCGCTGCTGCTGCTGCTGCTGCCCCCCCACCACCAGAAAAAAAGCCCATTACCTAACACGTTAAAGCGAATGAGCATTGTGCAGATTATTTACCCAGTAAAAGGCCGATAAAATAAAAGTTGACTCGCAGCGCGTCGGTCGCGCGGCGCACCACGCCTCTCCTAAGTTTACCAACAACACGGCGAGGGGACAAAAACACGCCTGGCAGACACGGTTCTTACCGAGTGGCGTGTTTTGAAGACAGAACACAAAACCTGCACGGACACATTTTAGCCCTATTCTATTTTTATTTAAACAGCTCACTACGGTAACCATAGTCCCGTTCAACGTGTTTACTCGCGAAGCAGCGGTTCCAGCGGTGGACGAGCGGCCGCATTTAACGTTTAACTTAAAGGGGCGAACTTTCCCCCAACTGACAAACTAAGCTCCCGTTTCCACGTCGGGTGTTGACGGAGCCACGGAGCTAGCTAGCGGCGGCTTATCTTACATGACAACCAGGCTAGCGTCGGTTCGGTTGGACGTTACAGCCAAGCTAGCTGGCTGCACGCTAACCCTTTAAGGGATTACGGTTGTTGTTGTTGTTGTTGTTGTTGTTTTTAACCCGTCCGTAACAGTTTGAGGAGCCCCTTATCAACTCGGTTGAACCCGTACCTTTGCTGTGTTTACACTCCTTAGTTCCCAACTGCAGCCAAAACAAATGCAGCAGCTTCTCCTCCTCTTCTTCTTCTTCTTCTTCCTCCCCGTCCACCCCCGAGATCCAGAGGAAACCCACTCCAATCCGAACTCGGGCTTCTCTCACTTCGCCAACACTAACCGCATATTTACTTATTTTGGGGGCGCCGTCTTGTTGGCAGGTGAAGCTCCGTACGTACCGTGGAGTAAATCAAATAAATGACAAAAAAAACCCTAGTCCCGTCGCTCGGGCGGCTGCGTTGACGCTTTAAATAATTTTCATAATTTTCCTCGATTCCCAAACGTCAACCCGACGGTATTTTTTTTTTAAATGGCGGCACAGGGAACGGGAAGCAAACCAAGGCAGGGGCAAAAAAAATACACTAGGAAAGGAGGAGAGCTCCGGGCCGTGTTACAGTCGGAGGCAGGGTGTGTAATTACCACCTGCATCTGCCAACCAATCAGATTGCTGGATTTGTGTGTATCCTTTTACTTTGACCAATGAGAATCTACTCTTCTCAGTCCAACTGTTAAAAGGCTCAGCGAAAGCAAAACATCCTTAAATTATCACACATATAACGAAAATTCGTAGTATTGGGCTCTTTCAGGAGACGCGCACGGTTAATTGCAGTTAAAAAAAGATATGCATCTTTTTTGAGTCGTGCATCTTAATCTGCTGCATATTTTGCGAGGTACCACGTGGTATGTCCTCAAAAGGGATGAGAGGATGATGTCATCCTACAAAATACTGCAGCGAGCAGTATGCAGCAATGCTTGACAGCTTGAGCAACAGTTCTCCGCGAGATTGTTATTGATGTGCACTACGAAACCCCAAAATAATTTGAACCGAGTATCAAGTCAAAATGTATGCATGTCTTGTTTACAGAAAAGCCCGTACAGACATTTTATACATATTCCATATTTTGCTATTTTATTTTATTGTACTGTGTATATATTGTGCATTTTTGCATTTTATATGCAAAAATGCACAATTATATGTATTGCTGTTATTGCACACAAATTTCCCCTTGGGGATTAATAAAGTATCTATCTATCTAAAATGGACCAATATTTGTTAGAAAAACAAAACAAGCATTTCATATCACGTATGCACATCTCATTTATTATCCTCCAATTTTACAGCCATTTGCTCTGCACTCGTACAAGCAAGTCCTTGATCTACTTTCATCAAGTACACACATCCAGATAAAAGCTGAAAAGTTCGAAGCTGTGCACTGGACTTTGTGCTTTCAGGGAGGTGTTGATGTTGCAACGGTCTACATGGGGGAAGGTTCACCCCATACAGTAAGAGTATATGAGTGTATATTTCTACTGAGTTGGAACTTAAAAAGGTATAGGATACGAAGAATGTTAGTCCTCTCAAGTTTTGTACTAGTGGCCCTCAGCACCTCGCTGAATTTCATTCAGTACATCAAGTCAGTGTTGAACCTGAAACATTTTAAAAGCATCATGTGGGGACTAGAGGCAAGGATTGAGAGTAAGGACCAACATATGGCTGCTCTATACCACCACAACACCCAACAAGCTTATACAGTAGTGCTGTTTAAACGCTAGTGCTACCCCCTCCCTTGTCTACTATACATTCATTATATATTTCCTTAAATTCCAGTACTCAATAGGAAACCATATTCCTAACATATAGAATTTGCTATTTTTTTTACAGTGTGATTCTTTTGCTCTTGGTGATTGTTAAGTAACGTTTTAGGTGCCAGTTTCCCAATAAGGGATGCAGAGGCAGAACACATGAGGGCAAAATAAATGAGGCAAAAAACATTGCATACAAAACAAGCCTAATAAATAAAGTGGAGCTTATTCACAAGGCAAAGCTTCTCCCACACACAAAATCATATGCGAGCGCAACCTGTGGATCGAGACGTCTTTGAAGACGTCCTCAATGTGCAGTGCAAATGTCTGTCCATGCCGAATTGAACTGTGTCTGGCATTGACCCGTTCATGCGAGGTCATTGAACATCCAGCATCGAATAAATCCACATCCTGTTACTTAGTTTTTTGAAAGGTCAGTAATTTTCACCACGATCATCATACAGTCTTTGCCCTACAAGAAGTATCAGTTACTAAGCAGATCCCCTTCGACCTTACAGTTAAAAATTCCAGTTTCAAATGATGAAGTAAGCAAAGTCACAGCTGCACCTGTGAGATACAGGTCCACTTAGACGACGTCATTGAAAGTACAAAAAAAAGTTCTCTGAAAGAATGCGGGTTGTTTCAGAAAGGCAAAGCACCACATCAAGGAAAAGGAGGAATAAAGCTGCAGCACGTCAATTATTGCAAATACAGCTGTTTGTTATACCATCATTTCACCTCTGAAGACAGATCTGTGGATGTGTTCTGTGCGCAGATAGAAACTGACCTGAGTGGAAGGCACTGTATTTTGAAGCCATGTCGTCATGATGTCTCTCATCACATTATCCAGGTCCAGACACGTGACATTGACCAAACCAGGATTAGGAACACGCGAGGAAACTAAATGTCGACGATGCCAAGACAGGAAGGGTGATCGTCCACACTCGGCTTCCAAAAAGTTAATACTCACACTCTCCAGGGGGGGTATCAGCCTTCTACTGTGACGTCCATAGAGGACAAGTCAGCGAGAGGTGAGCGTGAAGAATTTACGTGATTGTAGTTGCATTGAAAACAACCAGCGCTGTGTGAAGTAGCAGCCAGGTTTTTATACAAGACGAAGAACAGACAGATGCAGGGTATTTTGTGTTGTTGGTTTTTTTTTTTTAGTGGTAGCGCTCTGTGGTGCAGCAGCAGAAGGGAACCCATAAGCATCTGGTTAGTAAAGCTACAGTACGTCCTGTTGGCCCTGTGAGCGCCGGACAACAGACAAAAGCTGAGCGGAGTTTGGCTCATGGTCGAAGAGGGACTACTCGAGTGGCACAACATGACAGCATTGGTATAGCACAATAATAAAAGAAATCTTACATTTTTGTTAAGTGCAGCAAAGCGCATACAATTTCAGTGTTAACTGAGAGGAACAATACATTGACATTGCTGTCAATCAAATTAGAACAACTAATAATCTGACAAAATATATATATGTATACGTAATGAATCCATTATAGAAGTGGCCATTTCGCTTCCTATCTATTGTTCATCATTTAAATAGGCAATTGTATGATCAGGTAAGACTGTGGATCAGGGAAAAGAATATCAAATAAATCCCAAATCAAATGAGAGCAATTTGCACGTCAAAGGAATTCTAGTAACACACACACGTGTATATATATATATATGCATCTCTTCAAGAAAACGAACAGAAAAAAAAGCTCACAAACAATTACTTCTTTTAAAAAAAGGTTTAAAGGCTGCAGAACATTCTTCCTTTGCTTTTCTTAAATGACAAAAGAAGGCAAAGAAAAAAAAAAATAGTGCAAGAGGTAATACAAGAGTGGGTGCTCAGTGTTGGTGAGAAAGAAGTGAAACGAAAACATACAGAAGAAAGCTTGGAGGATGGTCCGTCTTTCAGGGAGCCAAACATCCACATTGAAGTACCCACACTGACCCCATTCCAAAAGGAAAAAATGAAAACAGATGAGACACACCCGTTAAGCCTGCGCAGCCTAGCAGAGTTTCCCCTTAAAATGGAGATCAGACTAAGACAATAAACGCGCACAGCGGGACACCAACTGTGCAGGCCTTTCACTTTCAGGACCGGCACTTTTGTCTATTTTTGATTGCTTCAGATGCCCACCTCTTAAGGTGCGTCACTTACTTGTGTCCCATACACGCCCTGCGGCACGCTTCTATGTGGTCCAGGAGCCGAGAGCGTCACCATCCGGGCCGAGGGCGGCCGGCCGGCCTTGTGCTAAAACGCTGGCAGAGACCAGCGGCAGGTGACCGGCTTCACTCACCAAGTTCTCATATTCGCTACTGTCCTCGTCGTCTTCGTCCTCCTCCTCGTCCTCGTCGTCGTCATCTTCTTGCCCTGCGGCTTGTCTGTCTAACGAGTCAGAGCTTGATCCGTCCCCGTTGCCGAGGTACGGGGTGTTGGGAGTGGCAACGGGGTTAGAGCTGGCGCCGAGCCCCAGGCCCGTGCCCAGTGGGCCGGGCGTTGGGTGTCCCGGGGAGCCCACAGCCTGGGGCCGAGGCAGTAGAGCGGCACTGGTAGCTGGGGAAGAAGAGGAGAGCAGAGGGACCCCCTGGGACAAGAGGTCGGAGTAGGATGGGGGGTTTGGCGAGGTACTGGGTCGCTCCGGAGCAGACGGTGTGTGGAAAGTTACTCTGGAAAGAGGGGAAGTCTCAGAAGGTTCTTTGCTCTCATGTGGAGTGGCATGGGAATCCACATTCTGGGCCTCAAGGAGCCCTGTGGAGCAGAGATTAAAAAGAAGAAGATGTAACTGGTTAGAAAGGTGAAAGATGTAGACTAATTGCTAAATGTTAACTTCATTGACATTTTTTTACGGGACTAAGGGAAAGGGGTTGATGCAGAAGAACTGAAGCTTAATACTTAGTCGTTTTACTATTGTCTATATTCATTTTCAAACCCAGCACACATTGGAAATGTTATGACACAGTTGTAGATGATCAAATCCAAATGCGGCACCCACTTCTCTCCTCTTCGGCCGCCTTGCGTTTCCTGAGAGCAATTTGCTGTTTGAGTTTTTTCACGTCCTCTTGAATTTTCTCTTTCACACGCTCACTTTGTTCCACTTCCCCACACACAGCCTGAAAAGTAGACAAACGGGTAAGAACATTGTGCCAAAAAGAAAAAAGAAAACAAAGAGTCATCTAGGGTGAAAACAATGTGACTACGCGTCTCCCACCAGCTACCCAAGCTCCAGCTCACCTGCACTTTATCTTGCAGTGCACTGTAGACTTGGTATATTGTTCGGATATCCTTCATGACACCATCTTTGTCAAAGAATTCGGCCCTGAAAAAGATATTTACCAATAGGTATCTCCATTACATCACTCAAGACATAATACATACATCACACAGAACGAGGTCAACTAGCCTGTTCATGAAAGGCAAAAGCATAAGAACGGTGAAGGTGGGTAGCATAAATCAAACATGAGCCACTGAGTAACACATAAAAACATCAGCTGAATGAGCTGAGGTGAAAACAAAGTGATCTTCTGCCTAAACCTAAACGGTTATTGAAGAGTAGAACACGGTCGGCCAGTCTAGGTTCAAACGCAAAGACACAGACATACACGTGTCAGAAATCAGTATGTGAAGCAGGTCACTTCAGGCACTCATGCTGACAAATGTACACTGGGACGAACGTGGAATTTGCACACCACCACGGAGGCGTTCAAAAAGAAAAAGGGGTTGGTGAAGCTGCAGTATACTGTGAGGTTAAAAATCAGGGCAATGCATGCAGCCGAGACACCCAAATCTTACCCGTGCTCTTTGATGACCTGCGTGTAGTTGGTTGACGTGTTGGGCACTGATGAGACTTTGTACTCCTGCTGGCTTGTGTTGCCGAGGTTGGGGATTGTGAGGGTGATCCTCTGGTTGTAACTTCTGAGGAGAGAGGACAATGAGCGCGGTTAAGACATCATTCGTTCACGAAATGGAATACCAGATGAATGAATAATACACCCATGTTACATATAATGAGTGCAGCTACTACCTGCGGTTGGGTCTGAAGAGCACATACTCCAGTGCGTGTGTGGAGCTGTTGGCGGTGGAGATGAAGCTGAAAAGGAGGAAGACGAGGTCGGGCACACCGAGCAGCTCAGTCAGCTGTTTGTGGATGATCTGCTCCCTAAACGACATCTGCTGCTGCGTGTTCCTCCGGAACCGGTACCAACCAATAACGTTCTAAGCGGACGAAGAAACCACTCTTTTTACAATGCGTTCAATTAAAGTCTTAAGTACATGGGCGACAAAAACACAGAATCCAGGGTTTGGCTCAAAAACGGACACTAATAATTATGAAACTTGTACAGGTACTTGTTTCATGATACTTCAATAAGACAACATAAACATTTTTTTTAAAGTGTATAATATTATGTTCAAAGCACAAACTGTTGAAATCAGGACTTTGATAGCAATATCCAAACAGCAAAACTTCAATACAACTTAAATAAAATATTTATTGGTAAACAACACAATTTAAGATTAAGATACAAGAAACTAAATTCCACTCTGAAGTCCAATTATTCAGGTTATTGAAAACTTGGTTGCAGTGTTGCCTTGATGTAAAATTATTACAGACATTTTAGAGGACAGCCACAATGTGTGTGAAACTGATCATTTAAAAGAGATGAACTCACTTTCCGCCGGTCTTTAAGAATGCTGTTGAGATGTTCTTCATTGAGTTTGCCCGCGTAGTCATAAAAGCTGATGACAGGGAGAATGAAACAAACAAGTTAGTTCAAACCGATTGCTACACCCACTCTGCCGTGGCCTCATTCATTTACACAGTCTTGTCAAATGGGGCCATCTACTGTTCAACATGAAATTAATTCAGCCTGTTCCAAAAAACAACAACAAGGGCAACTGAGCTTTTGAAATTGTCAATGTATTTAAAAATACTTTTTATTAAGGGAAAGCCAGCAGTACATATACATGCCTACTACTCTTGGACAACTATTAGCTGTATTACAAAAAACGCCCCATCATCATCACTTTGTCTCCCAAAGCAGGGCCTGTTCTACCGTTGGAAACATGGTGACATTTTGGCATCATGTTTATTGATAACTGATGATAATAGTAGCTGTTTGAGAATAATAAAAGCTCATAACTTACCTAAATAACTGTGCACAAGGATCATGGTTATGAATTTCTGTTGGGAACAAATCGCGACAGATGTTTCAGTCACATAGCATCATATATACAAAATATTTAAAAGACTTATGCAAAACAGTAACGTGCCAACCAAAATGAAAAAGCTTAGTACAACAACCAGCTGTCATTCATATAAGTAGCTTTAACAAATTCATGAATAACCCTGAAAGCTATGCAGCCAAGTAATAGCATGCTGCTAAGGCCACACAAAAACTTTAAATTGCAAAGATGTTTCTGTTGTTTGAGTTTAAAATAGAAAATTCCAAGCAGACTTAAACAACAACAAAAAATAAGCGGATTACTGGCTTATTTTCATTAGTGGTTACGTTTCACATTCAAGTGCATAAAGGAATCTCTGAGGGGGACTGAATGGGTGGTGGAAAGATTCAGGGGGCAAAAAAAAAACAAGCATTCCACACAACTGAAAAATATAAATAATTACTAACCCTAACCCCTTATACATTATACATAATATATATTATATATATATATAACTGTTGCCATACTTGGCAGATTAAAATCCCATATGGAATCCTGTGGCTCCTCTGTAGCGTCACTGACTGATCACCGTTCTTAGTAAATCCAGATGTGAGTGATCTCTAATTGTGTTTTGTCTCCACTTCTTTAAATATCCCGTCATCACCAGCATCACCAATGAGAAGTGTTTACTCAACACAAATACTTAATTAACTGTCCATAACTAAGACGTAACACATCTGCACACTTAGACAGGCGATAGTTCAGGTTAAAGTTGGACAATTCTATTCTGAGAATTACGGAACGTTGTCATAATGTACCTATTTAAAGAATGGTGTACGTTGCCCCTAACATATGCTACAGACAAATGAATGGGGGAGATGCCCACTACATCAGTTTGCAACACCGCTACACAGTCGTGTTGCCGCTTCTTATGAAACAAAGTAAGTGGGAACACCGGAGTGTAAAATGGTGCAATAAGACAAGATAAGCTATGCTAAGGGTCACGCATTCATAGCAAAAGAATGCATAGGTGTTAAGTGTGTTAGCGATGCTTTGGCCCTATTTGAGTTTCCCCAAATACCAGGACACCAAGACAAGAAAGCAGCTTTATAAATTGTATTAAGCAATCTTTAATATGCAGTGTTTCTAAAAAAAAATAAAAAAAGGCACATAAAATGAGATCCAGTAAACTTCTTAACGGTCTCTTCAGGCTTCTATCATTCTGCCATTTGGTACCGGGCCGCACCACAAGCTTATATCTTTTTTTTCTTCTGAAAAGTGTTTTATTTTGGAAATTGACCGGATTTTCTCATAATTATGTGCGCTCGTCCCTCTGACATATTCCCCACGCGTCACCAGGAGTTTTTCTTGTCCTTTTACCGTGCACGGCAGTTTCGCCGACCAGCGAACACAGAGCGCACGACTACTACCCCCCCCCCCCGTTGGTCGTTCCGCCCGCAACGACTACTACACCCCCCGTCGAACCTTCTCGACTGGTCCGCGAAATATTGTCTGACATGAAAACGGTCCGTGTGTGTTAGAGGGCTTACCTACTACCTGGAGCAACTCTGCAGTGCTGAGCTGTGTGTCACTGATGCTGACAGTCTCTTCTTGCCTTACATCTCCTAGTAGGAATCCCTCCTGTGCAAATACATTTAGACAAAACTGTGGTTAGGGCACTAATGTATGTTAGGCCTGAAACAATGAGTCAGAATGTCAGTTAGTTGATCAACAAATTAATCCAATTCAATGTGGTATTTCTTAATAATAACAATGTTAACATTTGCTTTTCCCAGTTTTATACATGGGCTAGAAGATGGATAATCACTTTACGTTGAGTAAGTGCATGCACAACAACATCATTTGTGTCACAATCACCGACTAAGGAATCCTAATCAAGACGTTTCTTTATGAAATATAAATCTAGTAAAATAGAAATCTCAATGTTTGTTTTGGTAGCAAATAAATGTGTTAACCTTTCACTAAAAGTGACGGCTGGTAAGTAAACAACCAGTGGATTCGTTTATGTCAGGAATGCAGACAAACCTGTTTACGGCAACTATCCAGCTTACCAGGGTCGACTTTTCAAAGTCTGCCATATAAACAGCGTTAGCTTCGTTTGCTCTTATTTCAAAATGTTTACTTTCCAAGCGAGGAGCACTACGGACAATTTATCGAATGCGTTTCCACGACAAGCCCGCCAATAGACAAAAAAAGGAAAAACAATATTATATTTTGACGCATGTCAATCACTTGAGAATACAACTGACATCAGCGACGTGGCTAAGAAGCTAATTTAACTTAGCAACGTGATACAAAACAACAACAAAAAGGTTTTCTGTAACCTACGTTCGTTTATAAAATGAAACGCGTTAACTTCACTTCGTATCCTTCATGACACATTGAAATCCTATCAGATGACAGTTCGAAGTCTGGACGTTATCGCACAGGCACACGGAAGTCACTTGACTTGCCTCCTAGCTAACGTGCTAAGTAGCTAACTGCTATGTATTTCCTGGAGCTCAAACTTCCCTAACAGCATTTGCCATGTTGAGTCAGCACGTATGCGTACAATCGTTTTTAAAGGTAATGGCAATACTAGATATTTAACACACTTGCAGCTGTAACACATGGGATTGGTTTTAAAATTGCTAGATTACCTCCTCGTTTCTGTAGCTAACTGTACGACCAAACCCCTACCTGCCGGTAAATAGACGGAACCGACACAAGCTAGCCAGCAACAGGATGATGACACTGGTAAACAACACTAACTAATGGTGTTGCTGGGCGATCAAGCACAATTGAGCAATAGTTCTCCATTAGTTTGTCAGCATAATTTGTAATACTTACATGATCTGAATTGCTGTTGCCGCTGTGATAACACACAGAACTAAAAGTGTAACCTGAAATGGATGCCGCCATGATGGAAACATCCCGATCCATCCCGATGCCCCCTGCGTTTCCAGGCACGCTCCTCGGACGCAAAGCCTACTGGGAACTGTAGGCGGTGACGACTTGCCGGGTCAGCACGGAAGACGCTACGGGAGGCGTGGAAGTGAAACGTGGGAACATGTCGGACCCGGAGGACGACGACGACAGCTCCTCGGATACCGATTTTGAACCTTCACAACTCGGAACGAAAGAATAGTAAGCTTGGGCGCGTTAACGGTCGCCTTGTGATCCGCTTCTAACGTAAACTTACGATCGCGACGGCTGTTCATGCTAGCCACCAAAGCTAGCAACAAAGCTAGTGGTGAAAGTTTAACAGACGCCGTTTCACAACATGTTTTAAGGACTTATTTCTAAATCGCTTGAAGCCCCCACTTATTTAACGATGAGGTTTCAACCTCTCGATGAAATCACCAGCATATAGTGTGGATTGCAAAATGAAGTTAGTGAGCTAACGCTAGATTGAAGAACATAATACGATAATAGATATATTCACCCTCAAGCCAATTGGATTTTTTTGTCCCACACCTTTTCAGGTTTCAGTGCTCACGGTATTTATTAACTAACGTTGATTGTCGGTGTCTCCTTTTCTGCAGTTGGGAAGATGTCTATCAAAAAGAACTGGAGACATTTACAGACATCGGAGATGTTGGTGAGATATGGTAATCCTATTCAGTGCATTGCCGTGCTGTCATGTGCATCGTCAAAATGAACCCTGGTTATTACAATATGAGTGTATGTCACGTCAAACTGTGAGGATTTCATGATGAGAGATCCATTGTTAATGGAATATTATTGCTTCGTGACTAAAGTCTGTCTGTTTCCATCGCCTCGAAAGGTTTGGTGAGGAAAGCATGAGCCGTGTGCTGCGATGGATGGACAGAGCTAAGATCCCAGCAGAGGCTGCCATTCTGGACATTGGCACTGGAAATGGAGCCTTTCTAGTTGAACTGGTGTGAACACAGTACATTTTTTTTATTATCAATCAAATTTTTAACAAATCATTCAAATATAGCAACATTTGTGGATTGTCCAGGCTGACCGGGTTATTGTAAGCTGAATTGATAAGCTTAACTCTTAATATGCTGTGTTTTTCTCTATTTGCATCAAGGCTAAACACGGACGCAGGAATCTGACTGGCATAGATTATTCTCTAGCGTCTGTAGAATTGGCCAGAAACGTTCTGTCGGGCGAGGACTTGTCGGATGTCACTGTAAAGGTTGGTTTGGTTTTTATTAGTCGCTAAAACTATAACAACATCCAAACTTTTATGCCACGCACAGATCAGCCATTGATACAAAATGAATCTCCTCTTTTCCTAAACGGAAATAATACAACGCAGCTTTCAGCACACTGGCAGCGACCCGGGAAGGTCAGAGGAAACTCTCCTGTGTTTACTATGTGGGAGAGTTGGCTAGGAGGAAGGCCCTGGAAGTGATGGAAGTCTGCCCACCATTCAGATTGAACCACCTGAAATGAATTGGCAGGGTTTGAAATATCCTGTGACATATAGCTGCAAGAAAAACAAGTTATAAATGCATGATTGGTCTGTAGGGGCTGTGATGAGTGAGTTTTCCTCTCCTGCGTGTGAATTACAGTGTCATATATGTTAAATGCATCACACGCCGGTGTGTCCTTGGACAGAAAGCCTTCTCCTGAAGTCAATATTTACTGTAGCTGGCAAGACATAGTGGGGGAGAGAGAGAGAGAGAAGTTGTTTAATACTACAGAATGCCCAAATGAGTGTGTATGTGCTTGTGTGAATGGAGTCTGCAGGTTTGTGAGGGTTAGACAAAAAGCCTGTTCAACCGGTGTTACCTTTTTTTAATCACTTCAAGCCCTTTCTGCGTTCCCATTAGTCATGTCACCTTTTGCCCATTTAACGTCCTCTCGTTTTTTGTTTTCCTAGTTCTGCAGGCTAAAATTTAACTGATCAGTTGCAACATTTCTCTCTTTATCTTCAGTGAATCACTTGATCATCACAGGTCACACATTTTGTGGTTTATAAGTATGTGGGTCTTGAGCTCTCCCCAGAGGTCTGGTGTTCTGCACTCTGTCCTAATAAAGGGTTCCTTTCACTCCCGGTCTGGTAGGTCAGCCACCTCTGCAGAATGAAATGCTGTCATGTCGGCATTTGGACTTGTATAGTTAAACATTGAGGTGTAACACATTTAGTCTTGGTTAACGCTGAAAGATGTCTTCTGCAGGGAACTATTATCATTCAACCCACATCTAAAGAGTGTGACTAATAACCTCTGTAGGCTTATCACAGACAAACTTTTACTTAAGTGCTGACTTTTTGTGTATTTTAGGAGGTGGATTTCTTAAACTGCCACGGCGAGCTAAAGGGTTTCGACGTCTGCATCGACAAAGGCACGTTCGATGCAATAAGCTTGAACCCGGACAGCTCGAAGGAGGACAAAAAACTCTATGTCCAAGCGCTAAAAGATGCTCTCAAGGACAAGGGATTCTTCGCAATAACTTCTTGTAACTGGACAAAAGAGCAGCTGCTGGACCGATTTTGTGATGGTGAGTGAAACACGTATTTATTGGTTGTCCGATCATTTATTTTTGTTAGATTTTGTGTCGGTTCTTGTTCGTTTCTTAGTGAAACTGCTGCATCGGACTTTATTATGAGGGTATGCAGCAATCCCACCGTGTACAAAAAAGATTGACTCTCTAATAACCAAATCAACTAGTCAGATACTTCTAGTGTAAAGCCAACCTTTGATCAGCTACATTCCTTTTGAGTCTACCTTTTTTATGATTCTCATCCGTTTCTGGGTTTATTATTTGCCGGCTTCCTGCGGCAGTTTATTCATCCAAACATTTTGGTAAGCAATTGCTGCACTGCACAAGGTTTTTCCCAGAATTGGTCCACGAAGCAAATTCTTAGGTCATTGATTTACAATCTGGTTAGCTACTTGGTAGTTTTGGCAAATAAATAGCTGCCTGGAAGGGAAAGCCAAATATTATACAACAGGTTAGTTTGCGATGTAAAATGGTCACCAAGCTTTTTTTGACCTCTGGTAGCATTCGTCAGCTGTCGGGCATCGGCACGCACATGTCACCTGTGTCCGGGTGCAGCACAGTCCGGCCAATGGTTTCACGCTACTTCCCCGATGTTCATGTAGTGGTAAGCAAGATATTCGACAATGCTCCGATAAGGGAAAATGACAAACCTGGCAGTAATTTACAACCAATTACAGTCATTTTACGGCTTTGCTTATTTGCTTTAAAAATAAATATATACATTTGATGCGTTTGTTAGAGCTCAAGGGTAGACAATCTGTTTTGGTGATGCTGAATGTGAACATGACTCGTACTGGTTAACAAGATATCTCCACGGGGAACATTTTCAAGTGGATGTGCACAGTGGTGTAAATGTAGTGACGATGGGGAAAACTGTTTTTTGCTGTGGGGCCTACAGTCAAAACACAGACACAGTTTCCCAACTGCTTCGGCAGTTAGCCGTCCGGTTGTTATACTTCAGGCAACAACAGACTTATAAAGTCAGAATTTTGGCACGATTCCATTAGCCGTCGCTCTGCAGTGTAGTCGCTCCGGAAAGCCTGCAGGGGGCCGAAGGGCTTTGAGAACCCATCTGTCACACTGACACGCTGTCTTTACAAGGCCCCAGGAAACACAGCAGATGGTGCATGGATAGTCTTTGACTCGTGGTTTTTCTCCTAACCCTCTGAAACCCGGTCAACAAGAAGAGCTTCCAACTATCTGTGTTTAAGACGCCATGTCCTAATATGTTGTCTTCGCAGGGTTTGAGTTTGTGGAGGAGTTGCCGACACCAAGCTTCCATTTTGGAGGCAAGAAGGGCAACAGCGTGACAGCCCTCATCTTCAAACGGATGTATTGATTCACATGTGCCTCAAGGAGGCTTTCTCTTGCTTGCTTTCTGTTTATCTCTGCAATTCATAATTACTGAAATATCATTTTATAACACTGCATCCACTTTTACAAGATATGTCTGTAACAAATTAAATTCCCTTTGAAATAAATGTTGTTTTGGTTTTGTTCCTGTCATACTGTCTTGCTTGATCCATGGTGCCAAAGCAACCTGTATTACTTGTGGTAATGTTATGTGCACAAAATGTACAGTTAACGTATAATTGTATAATATCCCTTCCTGAGACATGCATGTCCCTGAGTCTCTTGGCACACACAAAAGTGAACCTCTGCCCCTCGTGCACTTACTGAGACATTTTTGTCTGTGACGTTACTTTTCTGAGGCTACTTGTAATCGTTCAGCCAGACGATTATTTTGTTTGATAGATAACCTACTCGCTAAAGCATATTCTGTATTCAATAATTTGCACTCAACGTCTTTTCCCTGATCTGAAATTGCACAGCGTGGACCCCGTTCACAGTCCTGACCCACATTTTGAATACCACTGTTCTGTTTGTTTGAAAAATCCATTGCATCCATCTTTCATGTCATGTGAATAATGGCCGGTTCCTAATTGGCTCAAATCAAAACAAGCAGAGCTTTGGGTCCCGAGGAACATGATTAAGAACTTCTGACATAATGAATAAACAAGGGGCCGTGCCCTCTGTGCGAGAGAAGCCTGTCTGCCATTCATCGACTCAATGGCATCATTAATTACTGTCAAACTCTTGACTCTTAATTGCAAGTCGGTCCGATGGAGCCGTCGATGTTGAGGCACACTGTTGAGTAAACACATGCGAGCTTTACGAGAATTACCGCCTGGATTTTAACAAGGCCCTGGATATCCTGCCTCGGTGTGCATATTACAACCACATTTTCCCATGGAGCGAAAGCTCCATTCGATATCCTCTACTTCATCCTTGTCAACATTCCCTCTCACTTGAACAAAGCCCCTTGTTAGAGTGATCTTTCAGTGTTTTTCCCAAAGTGTAATTAGATTTTAATATGCACAGTACCTCTTTGGATATACTGCAGCTTACTCCTTTGCACAGGTGCTGTTGCTAAGAAACCGACTAGACCACAATGTGTAGTTAATCATTCTATGAAACATTCCTAACAGTAGATTACTTTTAAAATTGGGATTATTCACATTCAATAACTCAACGGTGGTCTTTTGGATCATTAGTTCTCTTTAGTAAGAGAAAATACAAACCAAACAAGTACTGCATGTGAAGCATCTTATAGGATGAAATATGTCTTTTGCTGTAATTACATTTGAATTATGACAAATGTATACCCACCTATGTAAACCTTAGTTGCTCAAAACTAATGTGGATGAAAAAGGAGTTTGCAGTTAACCTGGCCATGTGCCTGGGACACACTGCTGTGAAATGGAGACTAATATAGTAAAAGCAAACTAGCTTTCGTGTTAAAGTGTAAAGTGAATCATACTACTAGTATTACCGAGCACTATGAAGTAAAATAAAACTTGGGTAGGGTTGAACTGAGCTGTGCAGTAATCGGTCAGCACTGCCTTTGGGTTGGCGCTCACGTCTGAAGCTTTTTATTCCCCTCATAATGTGAAGCCTTTCAGGCGGTGATGCCCACTGGCTGCTCTACCAGCGTGAATGGCACGCTTTCATTTTAACCTCTCAAGTGGAACACTGCAAATATTAATGTTTTTTTTTTCTCAATCCATTTCCAAGGAAACACGTTTGAAGTGATCCCAAGCGAATTTTTGTGGATTGATTGAATTGAACCATGTGTAACGTTACCAGTGACGTTTTTTTTTTCCATTGCAGGAAAGCCACAAGTGGGAAAGATTCCTGTTTAAAAGCATTTCAACTTTTTTTTACACAATAAAACAACGTACATAAAAAGGCACGGTGCCAAGTCTTCGTTGGTTCGCGAGCTTTCTTATAGAACTGGTCTAGACCGCCTATTCGCTTGAAAGACAAAAATGAAACGCATAATACTAGAAAGTAGCGTAACTGTTGTAAATACCTCAGGGAGCACCGTAGCGGAACATACCAACTCGGAAGACGCGGGGGTGACTATTCTACATTCAGCTTTCCCACCTAGTCATATCAGAGCCTTAAACAATCCGTTATCGTCAATTCATAACGCTACTGTAATGACTAAACCGCGCAGTAATCCACTAACTCCCGTTGCTGAAAACGTTTACTAGCTGTCAACTCTTCCTCCGCCCCCGCTCCCCCCCCCCCCCGGCCACATGGTTGGTCTCTACGCGCATATTGTTAGAAATCAATGCTGAAGGCTGAAAGCAGCAGCGGGCTCACAGCTGCTCGCAGTCCGGCTCAGACTCGCACGGGCCACGCGCACCAGGCGGCTGCAAAATACAAACTTTAGTAAAATCTTCTTGCTTTGGCTTTGTCGAAGATGACGTAACGTCGAAGGGAGTCTTTGTTGGGCAGGTAATAACACATTTTCTTGTCCGGATACAGGATCGTTAGAACTGTTGAGGCGTGCGTCGTTGTGTTTTGTGTTGTTTTACGTTAAATATAAAGTGCTGGGCTTGCAACGAAACACGTTAGATGACAACATTGCTATGTTACTCTGGGCCATAAATGGTGTCTTTTGGATCTAGTTTAGGCAAGTAACGCTTGCCCTCTATGTGGGTGTCACATCATTCCCTCCAGCTTATAACAACAATTCTGGGCAAAATTATCATTTTGTGGAGTTTGCAACTGAGTCTCAGTTTGCTCGCCCAGGTCTGACCAACCTGTTGCAGCATTAGGAGGCTGCACACATTAACACAGCTATGTGAGCGAGAACCCCCCCCCCCCCACCTCCCACACACACACACTTAAAAAAAAGAAAAAGAAATCACTCATCCATGGTAATAAAGCCCAGGCTGGTGTTAAATAGAGTACCTGTGGTGTAGGTGCAGAGGGGCAGTGTGGTTGCTTTGCAGCTCATATTGACATATGGCTCCTTGCCACAACCTGGGAGGAGGCATTGAAAGGAGCGTGAGTGCTTAGAGCCTTGAGGGTCACTCTCTCTCTCTCTCTCTCCCACTCATCTCCACCATGCATTTAGATGATGGTTCATTCCTGAGATTGTGATATGTAATAATTAAATGTTTGCAGTTTTCAGAGCATGTACCATACCTCTTTATGCCGAGGAGGTGTGAAACTATGATCCTTTTTGTTCCTCCTCTATTTTTATTTCTGTTTTCAAAGAAGATGTGAAAGTCCCGTCAAAATATACACTGTGTTTATGGTCCATTGTTATGACACCGTGATACACCAAATGCACGCTATTACACATGTATGAAACTGAAACTGAGCCTCCAACTGATTAGCACAAGAGTGAAGTCAGTTGTCTTTATACGTGCAGATGTGTTTGTGTGTCTTAACCACAGCAGAGAGTTCAAACTACATTGTTGCCTTTTAGGCCTCGATTAGTGCAGCGACGCACAAAGCTTCTTATTTTTCAGTGTTTCCCTTTATTTGTGGGTTAGGAAGTAGCTCTTGCTGCTTATGTTCACCCTCCCTAAAATTGCAGGGCAGTTGCTTTATCTTTGTGGACACCATAAACACGATACCACGAAGAACTGGTTTGTTGCTACGGGGCCTCAATTTAATGTATCCTTACGTCGTCTTCCACTGGTTTGTCTGGTTGACTGAACACAAAATAGATTGCTCCTGACTTAAGAACTCTGCTCAAAACAGGGTGTTCAACAAATGCAAGGTGCAGCTTAAGTTGTGAATTTCATCTCTGGTGTCTAATTACAAAGGGGAGGTTGATAAATGGCTCACAAACACAAGTTCAGAGAGTATTCCTGGTCTGTCTTTTGGGAAGGACATGATGACGTGGTTTGATTTAGCAAAAATATCATTGCTGGAATGAAAGGTCAAATTGATGTCTTCAGGCCAGTTGCATTTATCAAATCCTATCGGGTGACCATGTGTTATTATTGATCCTAGGATTACCTCCCTTTGGTATTAAAAAAATAGATTTTCCACAAAACCCTTTAAAAAAAAAAACTTCAACATCAAATTCACAATGCGCACGTGTTTAATGTTGGCCTATTAATATCTCTCTATATATATCTATGTATCTATATATCAGTACTCTTTGAGTAGTGTAAATACAGTCTAAAATCAACAAAACTATTATTTGAATCTGGAAAAATGTGATGCCCAACTATGTAAAACAAAACGTTCTGAGCAAACCGGTTTCAAAAAGAGGTTTCAAACCGAGGTTTCAAACCGAGCCTCTTGGTTCTTGTCACCCCAGTAATCACCGTTTGCTTTAATGTTTCTGGTGAAGCACAACTGTTATGCACTGCAATCGTACTCGGCAGTAGGCCTGGCGTTGTTGTTGCTGCAGACTTGTTTTAGACATACTATAGACATAATTTATGGAAGCAATTAAGGCTGGTCGCGGATCGCTCCGCACTCCAGTGTGTGCTTAAGACGCGCACATTTGCAATGTCTTTGTGTTGCCGGCGAAAGGCCCTATTAGAGGTTCATTCTGTCCGCGGGCAGCTGTGTGCCGAGCGAGCCGCTGGTCCCTTCTGTGTGTACCACTCTCCCTCAGTCCACCCACACTGACACTTCCACTCCCTCACTTTTTTACTCTTTTTGAATGTCCCTACATTTCAATTTCACTTCCCCCGTTGCCAGGAAAAGGTGAAGGAGAAAATCGTTGTGTTCTGCTAATACTGTGGCTCTGTTTCTTTCACTTGTTGTCCAGCCCCGGGGCATTATGCAAAGCTAACAGAAAGGGATTGTTGCCTATGCTCGTGCCTCCATGCTACTTTCCATTCATTTTGAGAAGCTTCCCTTTCTTCTCTGCAATTTGCAATCATAACTGCTTCCGCTTCACACACACACCGAATCTCATTAGACTTGGCGTCAGCGAGTTAGAAACAAACACAAACACTATTTCATGCAGTCAGTTTACTGGCATTTCTTCATTTTGTATATTCCTTCCTCATGATTCAGATTCGTAGCTCAATGTCCACTGGGCCCACGACCTGCAGCTGAAAAGAAAAGAGAGGCATTCTCGCATAGACCAGAGAAGCTCCCCCAACCCCCCAAGACAGGCACCGCACTCTACTTAGAGATGAAAAGCATGCTGCGATGAAATAGGAAGGCTCCCGTCAACACAATCCATAGTGGTTTTTCCTATTTGGGCGATTAGTAAGGAAGCATCCTAAGTTGAAAGAAATGTGTTGCTTTCTGACTAAGTAGTGATAAAATAGTCTCTAGATCTTTGTTTGCTGTTCATTTTCCCGAGCTGCTTTAGATTTGCGTCAAAATGTCAACCCTAAAAAAAGCTTCAAACTATGTTCAACATGTTTATGTTGAGGTTAGGTTTTCTGTAGATCCAGCCCTGTGAAACAACCCCCCAAGAGAATAAAAAGCTTTGGTCTTTGGCACATCCATCCTGTATTTCCAGTCCGTTACAAGTTATGGAACTTCAATGACCTTTCATCATACAGGCCTAAAAGTGAATGTGTAACTACCTCCAAAAGGGGCTTTTTGTGCTTTTAGGCTTGAGAACACAGGAATGTATCATGAAAATCTTGCTTGCAAGAAGAAGGCTAATTATCATGGCGACATTGTCACAGCTGTCGCCGGCTCCTTTTTGATGTCAGCAGTCGGGGTTGAGTCCGTCGGCGTGCTCTTCGTGCACCTGCATGTCACTCTAAACGTCTGCTCCTGGCGGAACACCAGCAATATTTACACCCAATTATGGACAGCATGTTAAGGATGTAGGATAATACAGTATATAGCAACAAAAGGACAGACCTACAGTTGTCCTTTAAATATTGAACCATTACTACACACCCTAAAGAATGAATGGACCTGTGGAATGCTAAAAAAAAAAATATATATATATATATATAAAAAATATATGTATATAGTTTTTTTCTTTATCTCCCCACCCCTTCACTCTTTCAACCTGTCCATAATAACCCTGTGCTATGTGAGCATTACACTACGTAACACCAGTGATGTGATTCATTAGCTGATTAGTAGTGACAATCTGTACAACATCAATTTCTTACACAACGCAGGACTGGTCACCATTACAAAGCTGATGGGTTGCAGGGGATTTCTAGCAGCGCTGGGAGCTCGCATGTAATGTATCCCTCATGGATTAGGGCTCTGGTTAGTGTGCACAGAACAGAACAGGCACTCATGGATAATGGAAGAAACCACAGGCGGAAAGGCTGGGATTGATGGGGGGAGGTTAGTGTAATTAGTGGGGTACCTGATGTATGGAGAGTCGTGGCATGCGAGGGTCACCCCAGGGGGCAAGAGGCCCCATAGCTCCCTTTACTCAAACTGAAACACCTGATCCTACGCCTGTCGAGCCTCTCAAGACACAGGGCCCGAGTGCATTTCGGGCTGCCTAAATAGCGAAGCTGTGTTGTGTCTGCAGGTCGCATGTCACTGTGCTGCAGCTTGGTAAACAGGACTTGTTCAATAGTCCAGCTTCCTATAACAAACACACTGACTGATGGAGAAACGATGAGCTGTTCAAATTTTACTCCGCTGTCTGTTTGATGTCGGCCTCATTCACGTCACCAGTTGTCACTGTTATCTTCTGTTTTGTATTTGGTTGCCGTGGCTACCTATACAACTCATAGACACTGTAGCCTACTACTTAGCAACGGCATTATGAAAGAAGTAAGAAAGAAAGAAAGAAAACTAGGCCCTCAGCAATATATGTGGAACCTTTAACTGATTGCACCCTCAGTACAATGGATGTGTTTCAAGTTAGCGCTCATATATGAGCTGGGGTGGGCGTTATATCCATTCCCTGTTTTATGAGGAAGTTTACGTACTATTTACTCGGGAGATTATGTTGTGGTGTAATGTTGGTTGCCAATGAGACATTTCCGATGAACTCAACTGTGTCACAATGCTTGGTGGATATGACTTGCGTGTGCTCCACACCCAAATCAGCAGCGGCATGTGACCACAAGGGAAGAACAACCCCTGTAAAGGGAAGTCTGCTTCCCTTGTGAAAAAATATTCACATTTATTGTTGTGTGTCTTCATGCCAACTGAACTAAACTGAAGTAAACTGACTTTCGGGTTTCCTTTTTTTTTTTTTTAAATACGGCTAAAAGTCTAAATCAGGTCTGCATTTGTTTTTATAGCAGAGTGGTAATTTTAAGGTAAAAAACTCGCATTCCCATGTAAAAAAAAAGAAAAATGAGGCAAATTATTTCCTTGACCGCCAACCGGAACTTTAAATGCTGGTTGTATTCGTGCGGCGGTCACTGTTATGTCACCAATCTGTAACAGGAGGCCAGATCCTGACTACACACAAAGCATAACGGCTGACTGAATGAGCTCTTCCTTATTTATGCACTCGTGAATATCCAGTGGCGTAGCGGCGTGTTGTTTTTGGCTAGTGTTTCCGTGCCGCTGGGTACTAGGGTGATGGCCAGAGGATTCAGTGGTATGTCTTGACCTCCCTAGGACCATTTTTACGACCCCTCTCATTATACGAGAGAAGGGTGGCTGTGTGCCCCCCCGGCATTAACAATACACACCGCAGACTTTCACAAAAGAATGGCTATTACGTTTATTATGCAGAGACTACAGAAAGACCTGACTATGCAAAACCTTTGATGTTTTTCTTATCATGGTTCTAATGGCCATATCTGAAGCACAGAGCAAATGCCAAAGTCCAGCGTCTTGCAGCATAAAACGGGTGCTAAGGATTGGAGGCCCGAAAAAAGAGAAAACTGTTCAAATTTCAATTCAACATGTGACCGTCGCAAAATAAAAATCTGAAATGCACACAGTGGTTTCGCTTGTCTGGAACACGCAGCGTGGGCTTGGTTTGGTCGTCGTCGTTTCGTTGGTATCAAATCAGTTTCTTTCAGCCCCGGCCACCCATCAAAGTCTTGACACCAGACGCGCTCGGCACAAGTATGCAGCGCACAGAGCCAATTGGTGATGGACACCAAACACCCAGTCACACAACTTTAGGGGGCCCCCGAACGGGCTTCTATTCATCTGCCTGTACAAATCACTTTCTGGGCAAGGAGCCATATTATCTTAGCTGCCGTCTCTAGTGCCCTCCGGAGTCATTGGCTATTGTGAGCCAAGAGCTGCTGTCTGCACCCCAGCGTGCACAAGAGCCGTGTTGGGAGTAACACATTACTGTAATTCCACTACTTTTACCGACAACGAGCATGTAACAAAGTATTTTTTTAAATAAATTAACGCAGTTACAATTACTGAAATTGAAATGAGTTCGTTACTCTCGTTACTCTCTTTGGTGACGCGAAGCGGAGGGCCGGCAAATAGTAAGTAAATAGCTGCCTGTCAGCACAAAATAGTTGTGGCCACCAAACATTGTGTGTCACAGAATAGACGCCGTACGTGCATGTAAACAGCATCGCGTCGCTCATGACGAAAGACCGCAGGCCCGCGGATGCTGCAGGCGCCGCTCCACGCAAACAACCACGGCTCCACTTTACACGGACTGCAGTGCAGCCGATAAACCGGGCAGCTGAATAGATTGATTGCTCGCTATGTTGGAGATGAGATGCATCCTGTCAACTGTCGAGTCAGTTGCCTTCAGGCAAATGCCTGAAACAGTTAGTTTGTATTAAGTTAAGTATTAAAAAGGACTTTTGTACTATTGCTTGATTTGAAGGCCTGTTGCCCTGTTGATTACAATAAATAGGTCTAAAAAATATGTTGTTTGACTGTTCAGTACTATTTATATTCATTTCATTTAAAAAGCAGACATAAAAGTAACTTAAAAGTTACTTTCCAGAGTAACTAATTACTTTTGATACACGGTAACTAGTTAGAAGTAACTAGTAACTGTAACTAAATACTTATTTTCAGTAACTTGCCCGACACTGCACACGAGTGACTTGAATTACCACTAGATATTAGTCCACCGAATGAACATAGAGTGTTTTATTGGTGCAAACAACATCATCCTTTCTGTTTTGGGGTTTATGGTGTTCCTCATTTATTGTAAAAATGACAAATACACAATAACAGACATCGCAGTAGACTTATAGCACTCGTATGATTTCGTAGATGACAGGAATTTGTCTTACTCTAGATCATGACTTACTGGGCTGCCGTCCATTTATAACTGCAAAAACATGGTAGCTGTTTCCATTGAACGAACCTCAAGGGAGAAGTAGCACATCCAGCACGTGTGCTTTATTTGATATCTACAGTGGCCTGTTTAAAGGATTTGCGAGTACTTGTAGGCGAGGTGTCCGGCGAACTCATCCAGGATTTTCTTCGGCGTGACAGCAACAGTGGGACGTGGCCAACCAAACGACTCACTTCAAGTAGTAAAAATATGATCTGATTAGTGGAGGCTCTGCAGCTCTCTCTCTCTCTCTCTCTCTCTCCATTAAGCTCTGGTTTCCCCCATCACGGGAGTCGGTTCATTAGGTAAGCATGGCTCCAGGGTCGAATTCACACTCCATCTGCCCTCTCCCATGACCCCACTTGCCAGTCCCTACGCACGCACGCACACACACACACACACACTCACACACACAAGCGCAGGTTAGCACAGACCCACGCGCATGCACAAACACACATGCTCCTTCTCGCCGTCGAGGTGCTCCTTGGAGCGCCGATGGAACTCGTCTCACTTCAGTCAAACGGCGCGACGTGACAACCTTCACAGGTGACCTGCACGCTCATCGACTCCCACCGTGTGTAAAAACCACACTAGCGCAGATCTCGCTACGTTGACGCTCCCCCTTTTTTTCCGTGTCAGTCCTAATCAGCGTTGCAATCTGCACAGCGGATCCAGAAGAACAATGCCCTCTCCTGGGACGCCCAAGACCAGCTACTCTTGCGGAGGCCCAGTTGTGCTCTACTGACTCTGGGGCATAAACGGAGATAATGGGAGTCATATGCTTGCCGTCGGTTTGGGGCAGGCCTACGTACGACCTTTATAGTCCTCCTGTAGTCATGGGGCTAGAGAAGAGGACGGGGGTAGAGATTACACGGTCAAGTAACAACACATGAATAAACTGGTGGAACAGTTCTTGTATTATAGTTTGCAAACACATTTTTTAAGATGTGTCCTTTCTCTTTTGTTTGCACAAGTTACTGTCCCACAAAACTGATTTAACAGCAAGTGCACATTTGTCTATCTATCTAGAGCATGTTATAGAAGGGCAAGCACCCCTGCTTAACATGAAACCACATGTTACACAAGAAGCATAAGTTAGTCGGCCTGTGAGATCCATTTCTTCAAGATGTCATTAGCCGCCACTTGATTGGGAGCAGGATCCGAGCCACGCTGGTACTCTCTAATTGCATGCTGTCAGTGTGTTTGGTGGTTGGCTAACGACAGAGAGAAAGCTCAAGGCCAAGGTCACTACAGCTATTCCAGCATTCCTCCTTTTTCTTTTTCTGTATAAATAAAGCTGAACTGGACGTGCCCGTCACTTACCGAGAGCTTTCCCATGCGTCAAGCATCATGCCAGAGAATAATTTGAGTAGATATGACAAAGGTTGAGCACCATCTGCCTGTCATATAACTCATATAACTCCAAGTGTTTTTAGAGTTTGCGTTGTGTCTCTCTCTCTTACAGCATTTTTAGATTCACATATGTTCTGTTACGTCGACGAGCCAAACGCTGCCTTATTTACAGGGTTGTGGAAACTGTTCCGCATATGGCAGCGTGTTTTGTTTGACAGAGACGGTAGTTTTATAGGCACACAGCTATATGGATAACTGTGTGGTTACGTTGATGTAAGTGTTAGGTTGGTTAAAATGCTGAGTGGAAAAACCACGTCAGCGCTCCCCTTTTCTCAACTCGGTCAGTAGTGAAGTACTGCGCAAAGTACTATAAGTTATTTAAGTAAGAATTCCTGTTCTTAATCTGTGAATTATGCACACATATCCATACACAATAATAAGCAAAAGCATTTAAAGGTAAGGGCAATAACATAATAATAGGTATTAGGAATCCCTATGGGCTGTTTATAGAATGTTATCTTCAGTAGATTTAAAGTATGAAAGCCACTGCTCGTCTTGTCCATCAGACTGACGTTGCTTTTCTTCAACTTTAATAGCAGCGGAAGCAGTGGGGCAGAGTTGGAATTGTATGTGTTGCAATGTTCTTTCTGTTGTGCTCTGGAGATGAACCCACTTTCAGTTAAAGGAAAAGTCATTTCTAACTCTTCTCTTTTCTGTCGACACAGGGATCGGCTGACGAGTGAGAGACGCTCCTCCTTATCTCCGACCACAAGCGCCGTCAGCACTTTGCAGGTGGGAGGTCGCCAACCGGTGGGCCCGTTTCTCCCAAATGCACCGTCTTCCCCGCAGCCTCATCTAAGATGGCCGCCTGTGGCCTTCTCCTGAATCCCAACGGACTGGAGCAGACCTGCGTGTTACCATGGTGATCATTTTCTTGAAAACACTGGAAAAGAAGAAGGGTGTCGATGATGTGAGGTCCAACAACACAGAGAGACGGCCGGTAAGAGGAAACTCAACCTTTTGGAAATACCCACAAAGTAAAGCAGTTGTTGCAGTGAAAGAGCTACAAAGAGTCTTTATGTGAAACGCCGTTTTAATGCCTAACCACGTGTTTTAGACGGCAAAGTGAATGGGTGACAGGGTTATATTCCATCAGTGCATGACCACATGTCACAGAGGACACGTTTAGTCACGTAAAGGCTACTCGTTTGCACAGTGCACTAGAATGATGATTAGCCGAATAACTAAAAGTCATTTTTTATTGCTTGTATTGACTATTTATATTTAATACAACTTTTGGACCCACTGCATGTAACATGCAACATTGGCATCTCAAGTCTCTCTTATCTCAAATGATTTCTCTTATTTAAATTGTTGTGCTCGGAGAGAATTAAAATGCAACAGAGTTTTTTATATGCACCGTTGGTATGAAAAGTCTTTTCAGGTGATCATTCTTAGCATGCCGGTCAACAGGCCTGGTTTTGACATCTATTGGACATTCCCTGTAAGCTCTGAAGGTAGGCGTCCCGACCAGAGCCCACAGCTTGCCTCTTTTAAGTTCTGCTCAAGATGTCTGAGCTCATTCGTTTGCTCATGACAGAAAGCTCACGACCATATAGAGGGTCTGACCGTAGATGGAACGGTAATTTGCCACCTTAGCCCCCACCTCAGCCATCTGTCCATCTCACGCTCCATTTCACCTTCAATTCTAAACAAGGCCGCAAGATACTTGAACACCTTGCATTGGAGCAGTGACTTCCAAAACAATAGCCCTCATTGTAAATGCTAGACCTTGTATTTTGGAAAATACATGTATTTGTTTTGGTAAGGACTCCATTAATGAATACATGTGTGTATTGAGACTCTTAATGACACCTGAAGCAAGTGCATAGTTCTTAAACTGCAAAATAACTGAAATAAATAGGTGGAAAATGATTGAATGTTTGCCTGTCCTCCACAGCATAAGTTCCACAGCATGAGCAAAGGGACCACCCTCCTCTCCCGTGGAACCGTGGGTGGGTGATCTCTGTTTATGTCTCTCTGCTTGTCTTTCCTTCTTTGCGATGGCATTGAAAGAATTCCCATCTTTCTGCCCTCTGAATTCACCAAAGATCTAAATAGTGTCTTATAGCTGCTGTCACACTTCTCACAGTCACTCGTCCCCCTCGCGTGATCACGGCGCACCTGCCTCCACGAAACGTTGCACACAACTCTCATGGGAGCGTCTATAATTGAATATGCTGTTGCCTTTGTCAACATTTTCCCTTTCGCTCTGTTAGTGTTGCATTAAAGTGTTTAAATACATGATACAGTCGATTGAAACCCACGGGGAGGAGCAACTGTTGACATGTTGACATAGATATTTGTCTGGGATGTCTCGTTAGTTCGACACTTTGTGTCTTGCGTTCAAAGGATGGCCTTTTGAAGTTCATCCCCCTTTTCTCCCTTTGTCAAGACATTCCTGTCAGGTCGTCACTGCCGCCCCCGAACATTGTTTGTCCGCCCAAAACAATGATTTCCGTCCACAAGTCCGTGCGAGAGCGTGCCAAAAGTAGAGAAAAGCATCGAGAAAGGACGGGAATTTGGATCAGCAAGGGGCCCTTTTTGCCAAAAGCGTCAATAGATTCACGACATGACCACTTGTCACTTTACTGTAGGTGTATTATCTCCCACAGCTTTGTGATAGACTCTTTTGTGCAGATGGGGAAATAGCTGGCAAGTCATGCGGCTTTGCAAAGCAGTTTTTGTTAACAACTGGACTAGTGGGTGCGACTTACCAACCGGTTCACTGGCTGATTTTTCTTTTTTCTAATATGTAGATGAGGCTTTTGGAATTGGCTGTATTTAGTTTCAGGCTCTAGGTAGTCAGGAGTGAAGATGATTCTTTATTTTTTGTAGGATAACAACTTGCTTTGTGCCGGGGAACAGTCGGACCATATTGGTGATGGATTTCTATCATAGTTTATTGACCGTGTGTGTCCTCTAGCTATTTATGTAAAAAATAATCAAAACATAACAGAGCGACTTTTTTGAGTCACGTTGTCAGCAACTCAACTATTTAATATGTCGTAACACTTCCACTTTTTCATAAAGGTTCTTAAGACAAACAAAATAGGAATGCTTGCTGTGAGCCTCCCGTAACTAGACTCAAATGACCCAATAGAAAGTGTACGTTCAGTTCTTTGTTAATGCAGTTACCAGAAAATAATCACCATCTTATCCCTCAGAAACATTTCCCTCTTGCCTTCAGCTAACTTTAGTTTGTTTTAAGCCTTTGGTGTCCATGTGGTTGAACATTAAATGTTCCCTTCGGACATTTTCTACCTTTTCTCTAAGCTAGAATTCATCTCGCTGAGGTCAACATGCTGAACGTTTGGCTTTGTGTTACTACTAAGATGGAGACATACAGAAAGAGCTCCCACTGAGCTCCTATTTGTCCTTTGAATATTGCAGAGGCAGATAGGTGGCTGGACCTGGGGCAATCCTGTGCCGTCCAGCGGAGAGCTCCCTGCCAGCCCGGCGCCAGTCTGGGGAGCCTTTGGGGTCCGATGCCCGGGCCGGGGGGCTGGCCCTGGGCCAAGGAGCCGGGCAGCGCCTCTGCAATCACCAGCCTGATAAGAGATCTGAGCCTAAGCAACAGCGGCGTGACCACCCCCATGACCACCACGTCCACCACTGCTGAGCACACCACTGCAGCCACCTGCCGAGCGCCCACGGCGCCGCCGAGCAAACGCCAGTGTCGCTCCCTGTCGCTCTCCGACGAACTCACTGGCTTCCGGTCGTCCTGGAGGCCCCAAGGCTCCCGAGTGTGGACGACGGTGGAGAAGCGAAGGTGCCACAGCGGGGGAAGCGTTCGGGGAGCAGCGCAGAGTTTCTCCGGCGGTCATCCGCCCGCCATGCAGCGTAGCTCCAGCTTGAGTCTGCCCTCGCGCCCCAGCGTACCCTCGGATGGAGCCATGGAGCTGGCATTCTTCCACCAACCGCTGCCTCCACACCCTCAGTTCACTGCCTCTCCAGTGTCCCCGACCTCTCCGTCCTCACACCATCACCACTCCCGCCATCCCCACTTCCTCAGGCCCCTGTCGCTCTCCCACGAGCAGATCAGCCTGCCAGAGCTCCAGCGGGAGGAGGAGGCGTCGGAGGCCAGCTCCCCAGACTCCACCCCGGAGTTGGGGAGGCGAGCCGGCCCGAGAGCCCGGCCCGTGGGGCGTCTGTCTCGGAGCAAGTCCCAACCCTGCGTGCTGAACGACAAAAGGGTCGCTGTGAAGCGCAGAAGACCGGAAGAGCCGCGGCCCTCCCTGGACCTGGCCAAGATGAATCAGGTGGGTTGGAAATGTCAAACACATGGTGACGTGCACAGACAAGCACACAAACACAGAGTTGGAAAATGACATCGACATAACATGGGCACAATTCCTAACATTAATCAGCATCAGTTAATTACTAATGTCGCTTTAATGTTTTACCCTTTTAACACACGGACAAAGGGAGGAGATCCTCAAACAAAAATGGGTCTCTGTCGCTCTATCTCTCCCCTTTCCTCTGTGCGTGTGTGAGTCTGATCTGCAACTGGACTAAATCAAGTTGAATTAAGTTTTCTGGGTCGTCGGTCCGAAGCTTCGGGGCTAAGTGAAATCAGGCCTCCCTAAATGGTGGTGGCACGGAAGAAGAATTCCTCATGTTTGGTCACGCTGCCTCGCGCCACGCTTTGGCAAGCCCGGCTCGGGTTTACCATTTCATTTACTCTTGTCGGGTAAACGGCCCGTCCGATGGTTGGACCCCTCAGCGATCATTTTCATTCCTCTACTTCTGCCCTATATTCCCATCGTTCCCAGTACTGCTTCTAATAAATGAGATATTTGGAGGAGTTATAAATCGCTCTCCCCAGGACAAGAGTTTGTTTGTTCTTTTGTAAGGTCAGAGGAAGCAGTGGAACAGCCAGAGGGTAAAAATGACCCCTAGATCAACCAAAAACCCAACCGTTAAAGTATTTAATGACTTGTACTATTTTGAAGCTTGACTGTTGGATTCTTCACATCCGGTCTCATTATTTGAATACTTTTGACATTCTACATAAAGCTACAACTGGAGGCATTGACACCACATCCAGCGTGTACTCGGATCCCTGAATATTTCTGCTCTGCTTCACGTGTCCCTCATGCAACACATAAAAACCTTCCTTCAGCTCGCCGCCTGTCACGGAAATATGTGTATTTTCCGGTTCTCCTAACAGAAAGTACCATCAATTTATCCCTCTACCCCTCCCTTCCTCTTCCCGGAGATTTCTGTTCCCAGCCATTCACCCACAGGACCTCGCCAGGGTTGGATCAACAAGGCCTCGGTAATGAAGCCTAGCGAGCATGTTTCCTCCAGTCATGCCAATAGCTAAGAGGGGAAAGGCACAGATGTATGCACAGATACACACACACACACACTTAATTCTCTTTCTCTTGTGCTCATGTCTCATGAAAGAAAACAGCTGAAGCTCTCATTGAAGCTCGTAGTTGTCATGAGTTAAGGAAGTTTTTTTTTTTGTCAATGATGTCTAAGGAAAAGCTCTAATAGAAACTGAATCCTAATGTGCAAACGCTGGGCTGGCAACAGAATGTGCCCGTTAAACCCTCAGGGAGCAGCTGGTGTGTGAATGGGGTTCTTTGCCTGATTGTTTTAATTGACGTGTCACTGCAGCTATCTGTCAGAATCACATCCCACACATGTGATTCTGGCATTAGACTTGTATTTACTTCAGCTGTTTTGGGTCAAGCTGGATGAGCGAACTGAACACTGAAAGCCAGTGTGATTTAAGTGTCACGATTTCTCATTTTTCCCACACACACTTTCTCCCTTTCAATCTTTTCATCACAACGCTCTCAAACTGACATTCCAGTCCAATTGAAGCATTTGACAGACCAAAGATAAAATGAAAATGAAATCTTGCGTTTGCATTTTACCACTTATCACTTGTGGTGAAAGAAGTGCCACCATACTTTATCTATTTCATCGGTGTGTGTGAGTAATACAGTTCATAAACATAAAAAACAAAAAAAACAATGCATTTTTGGAATAGCAAACACTGAACCTTGTCTCCCCATTGCAGACCAATGCAGGTTGTCTGTGGCAGTTTTGGGCAGGGGGGGGGGGGGTCAACATATTACAAGTCCCTCAGGGGTGTTGTCAGTGGAACTTGGGTGTAATTTGGCCTCTGGATTCCAACCCACGCCAACGAGGGCGGTGGGGATTCTGGGGATGCATGTCGTGCTTAGCGGCTACAGCTCGACTACCGTGGAGATTTGCGTGCGACAGCCCCCAAAAATACCTCAAATATTCTCCCCGTGAGCCGTGCGCTCACTCTCATTTTGATGCCGCGCTGCCTTTTCACCTTGTTGTTTCCTCTGCAGAAGCGGGTGTAGCGAGTTGTCGGACGGGGGAATGTTATCTGTGGAAGACAAATTACAGGCCGCCGTCGTCGGCCTAGCTGTGTTGTGCGCAGTATGGGTGGTAAGGGGGGGGGGGCGCGTTAAGCCAGTACTTGTGTGTGTGTGTGTGTGTGTGGGTGGGAGTGCCTGTGCATTCTAGAGAGAAAGGGGGTATTATTTCGGCACCCTTTTCTCTATTAATATCTTCTCCCTGGCCCAAGTTCAACGTGCCACCTCCGTCTTTCTCCCATCCTGGGATCGCGCACACGGGGATCACAGCTGAGCGACGGGCCCCCCCCGGGTACACCTAGGTGGGCGTCTTTTAGGTGCGGTGCTAAAGGTTTGAAAAAAAGGCAGGATGCTGCATGTCCCAGAGGTGCTGTGTGTGCAGTCACCCCTGCATGTTCAGTCAGTTGATTCATCCAAACAAATGCATCTTAAGTAGCCTGTAAAACATAGTTGGCTTCATTCATGTTAAACTCAACTTATTTTCACCTATTAGAGCCACGTATTCTCTCTGCGGTACAGTGAACGCGGGACACATGCAAATGACCAAACACAGATAACTGATGCAGGAGTGTGCAAGTATGTAGTCTGGTTGTCAGGAATGAGTTAAGTTCTCCTCTCTTCGCCTGCACCTCTGCCCTCGCCATTGTTTTATAGTTGTTTGCTGTTTCCATGTCTCCTTAGGAGCAGCCTGTGGCTGGTTGTTGTTAATCTGACCCTGACAAATGCGTGAAGTAAACAGGTGTTTTTTTTTGTTTGTGCGTACATCTCTGCGTGTACGTGTTTATTTGTATCTCAAGTTCACAGCAGGTCCTTTTAGCTAAGTGCTTTGCAGGGTGTTGTTTGTCCTCATCGTCAGGAGGATGTGACTTGGCTCACAGCCGCTGCCTTTCAGTCCCCATGTTGTTTAAAATGTCTTGAGAGTGGAAATGTTGGTCGTGTTGATTTTGGTTTAGCATAAAGGATGAATACTCAGTTGTGTACATTAAAAAGTGTTGTTTATTTGTTGTTATTTGTGTTTCTGACTTTGTATGACTTTTAGGTGTAAAAAGAAAAGTAGTTAAGTGGCTCACTTGAATTTTGCAGAATGCAAGACTGAATGCTTTTCTGCCTTATTTGACCCACAACCTTCTGTCTAGCAAATGAATGCAAATGGATATACTTTGTCTGGACAGCTGCGGCATTTACTAAAAGTACTACGTGATTTGGAACGCTATCTTCTCCTGCATGTCTAGCCTGTTTGCTGCCCCTAGTGGTCAACACATCTGTCACATCATTGCCAAATCACATGGAACTGAACACTGAAACACTCCCCTGTGTTTGGGCCTGCGACTTAAACAGTTCAACTAATTTTAAGAATTACAAATGATTTAACCATGAAATGTCCAGATTAAGAAAGTAACCCGCTCAAGTGCCTGTTGCGGCAGTTACTTATGCGAGACACATCAGCATGAAGCCTGAGCCTAAATGTGAGTGAGTCCATATGGGGTGGGGGTTCTGCTCAAGTGAAAGGAGAAAAACACCCAGTCAAAGCCTTGGTACAAAGCAGAAACCCACCCCTGCTCCGCCAACCTCCCACCACAGCCGCCCAATGTCGGGTTTTATGGAAAGCATATTGTGGAGAGGCTGCCTCTCCCCCTCCTCCCCACCTTCCTCTCGTCTCCTCCTCTGCTGTGATAATTAGTAGGGTGTTGTACCAGGGGGGGGGGGGTTAAACAAGAGAGGGCGAGGGGCTCAGAAATCCCCCATTTCCAGTCCAGTGGGGTAACTTCAGCGAAAGCCTAAAGGCCTCGTCCTCCTCACATGAGCACTTCTAAGTATTTGCAGATGAGGTATCCCACGGCCGAGCAGCTTACATGTAAAGTTAATCCGGCAAAAGTGAGCCAACCTCCAGACTGCCAAAATCCCGTGTCGTAGAATTTCTTCCTTTCTTTTCTTTTTGGGCCGTAGTAAATCAGAGCGGGTTAAAGAATGAGCCTTACTAAAGTGAGACTTAAGGAAGGGAGACTCCCAGCTCTTTGTAACAGGAAAAGCAATGTCCTAACACACGGAGCAACATTAGAGGTGTCCGTCATGTAAACCGACGCGCTATAGAGAAAACCTCATCTCTATTCACCTCCATGCCTCAAACATCTGCTGCTGGGGCACTGCAGAGATCATTAACCCTTTCACCGCGCTGCACGCCCGCCTCTCTCATTGTTGCACACAGGAATTCAGGGTGGAAAGACAGCATGGAAGACAACCTCAGTGAATTAAATCTCCCCAGGGTCAAGTAAACCCCCCCCCCAAAAAAAAACAACGCAGGCAGTTGTTCACATATAGATCCACAAAATATCATAACCACCGTGCGCGTTTTGCTTCCCAGTATGTTTTTTACGCTTTGCTTCAAAATGTGATGAATAGGTCTAGTGCATGAGTTTGAAACAAGATCCTTTTGTGGTTTGCAAATCATCTGTTATTTTTTCCAGTCAGTAGGATTTCTGCGTATATTCTTCAGAGGCTCGTGTGTCTAGTCGTGTGCCTGCGTGTTCACATGATGGCATGCGGTGGATGAAAGGGAACGCCGGCTCTTGGCCTCAAACCGAATCCCAATGTAAGACCAAAAAATCCTGGAAAACTCTGGGCTGGATTTCCCTCCCAACAAGCCTACGCTTTAAAAGCCTCCCCCCCCCCCCCGTTAGAGTGCAGCTAGAATGTGAGCCTGAGCTGATGTACACCAACAAAACCGTTTCCCCCCCCTTTTGTCTCCTCCCTACAGAACCGGCAGACCTTTCAGAGCTTGAGCTGCCCCGGATTCTCAGCCGCCGACGGCCGCCAGCCGGGCCTGCCCCCTCCCTCTTCCCGCCGACCCGATTCGGACTTCACCGCCGCCTCCGAGTCGGGAGTGGATTCACGCAAAGGAGCGGCAGGAGGCGACGGGGAAGAGGACTCTTCCTTCGAGGAGCTGGACAGCGACTCGGCCTGCAGCGTGGACTCGCGGCCCTGCACCCCCGTGGGGCCTGCGGGGGGCAAAGGCGCCCTCTGGAAGGGTGCGACACGGAGGGACATTTTCCAGCTGGGGGGAGAGCTCGATCTCGATCAGATCGAGAGGAACTGAACCTTTTTTTAAAGAGTTAGTCTGGACTGTTGTAGGTTGGACGTTGTTGATGTACCAAGTGTCGGCTCTTCGGCTGTTAGGAAACGAGTGGACGTTGAAAGGGGAAAGGGACGTGATGTTTGACAGAGGACTCATTACGGTGTAAACGATTGCCTTCTTAATGACACATTTGCCTTGAACATTTGTACTGTTTCAATCAAAAAGCAGTGACTTCTTTTTAATTGTCATTGGGTTTTCAGCTTAACTCAGGAGCGGGGAAGTAAGGGTTGGTCTTAAGAGAGAAAGAAACTCCCAGCCCCCACTTTTCGTTTCAACCTGATGACCTTTCCAAAGTTGGCTAAGTTTTGTAGCACTGTAGCAGTAGCTGGGCTCGCCTATGTATATTTAAAAAAAAAATGTCAGCGAGCGGTGAAACAGGGTGGGGGAATCCACATAACTCACAGACTTCGACCTTCCTCTTTGTCTCTTGTGCACAGGTGAAAATCTGATCTTTTTGCTGAATGTAGGCTCAATAAGCTTTATGTGGCGTTCGGAATACGACAGTGCCTTCCCGATGTTTGCTCTAGCGGTTCTCTAGCCTCAATCGAAGCCACCTTTTCTGACCCTTTTTTTTTTGGTAGTTCCTTAATATGCAAATTGTATATTTGAAATAAACACTGAATCTCAAGTTTTCAGTTCTAATACCAATGTATATTTTTCTAAGTAAGTGTATGTATGAGTTGTTTGTGAAGGGGAAAGAACACAAGGCCTTTACTCTACACAGAATGGACGTGAAATAAATGTACAACCTGCACGTTATGCCTGGCTTGATTTCAGCTCGTTTCACTTTGACAGATCAAAAAAGGTCTAGATAAGTTTCCAGATATCCTGTAGGAGTTGTGCCCACTTCCTGCTTCACGTTGCAGAATCAAACAAAATCATTGTTTTTCACATTGACAGATGCGTTTTTGATGTCCTTTTATTTATAGTAACTTACAGCCCTCGGTGACGACAGCAAGTTAAGTACACACGGTGTGATGCCCCTATTGTTGCCCACCAGACCTGCACAACGCGGCAGGAAGTCTAGACGTGAAGTATCCCTCTATAACCCAGCGGTGACCAGAGGAAGTGATGTCTAGAGAAAAGTTCCCAAGATCTGTGAGAGTGGCAGACTGAAAGAAAAGCGTGTCCCTGCCTCGTATTTCCTACCACGTCTCTCTCAAGTCTGTCCAAGTCTAAAACCCCCAACTCGAAGCACCTGCCACCCTTTTATAGGAAACGCTTACTTGCGGGTGTCCCATTTTGAAGCGGCATTAAAGGCTTCTGACGGCAGGATTACGGGCCACCGGGGAAGCTGAACGCTGACACGGAGAGATAAGACGGATTGTTTTTCCAACGCGGGGAGGAAAAGCCGTGGCTACAGTACAGTGTTTACGTCCAAAACAGGATATTGCAGCCAGTTGCAGCTTTTCCTTCAATCGTGGCCTTGAAGGAAGGTGAACTCCGACATCTCAACCCTGAGGTGTTAGCTTACACAAAACATGTACAGCACACACACACACACACACACACAGTCAAAGGCCCTGAAGCGGATACGGAGTGTGCTTTGCTTGTTTTTGCTGAAAAACCCGTCCCTCGCCCCTCAAAACTGCATTAGCTGTCACTATCTCACTCCCAACAGGTAAGAGACTGTCTCTCCATCTCTAGATGTCGCAACATGAGGACGGGTTGGTGAGAAGAACGACAGAGGGCTCGAATTTAGAGGACGGAAAAAAAAAGAAATAACAGACTCAAACATCTGTTCCCGCCTCACTTTTTGGGCTTTACAAGAAAAGGCTGGAAACACAGAATCCCGTTGCCAGTCTGCTTGCTCGACGAAGGTCGAAGGTCAGTGAACTACACACACACACACACACACACACACACACACACACACACACGTTTCCTCTCTAACAGGAAGTGGGGGGGTAAGTGGGGGAGTGAGTTAATATCTGAGGTAAAAGCGCTATAAATAGCGAGCATTGTAGTTGCTGCAGACGAATGTGGGCTTTGGAGAGAGGGAGACAGGAAAGGCCACGCTGCACACGGTTACAGCGCCCTGGACGGCGCACACACTCGATTACACGTGAGAAAACATTGGCTGTGTTTTCAAAGCAGGCTGTGTTTTACGTGGTCAGCAAAAAAAACTTTGAACTACCCTTTGAAAACTTCACAGGAGCACAGACTAATGGCGTCACTTATCTCATTCTTTTGAGGAGTAATGTAGTATTTACGTCCAACTGAGTGGGGCTTGCATCTTAACCTCTTCTGAAATACTGATGGAATTTTGGCCTCTAAGACTCCTCTCATTCTCTAGTGAGAGTTTATGCGTTTTTTGGGGGACGGCCCCACTTTTTTTTTTTGTCAGGGAAACTTGACGTATGGGTTTAGAAACAAGATGGATGTTTCCAAGTAAATACAATCTGACTATGAGAGCAGATTAGAATGAGGATCCATTCTTAAAATCCTGTGAGCTTGATGGGATTTGCAAGAGAAATAAGCACACAGCCCGCAGACAATTCATGAATAGATAAACTTTTAGAACAAGGAATAGAATGTGCAAATATTATTACCCTCTTTGTTCAGGAGCACTGAGTAAAACAATGCCGGGAACCGCACCTGCAGTTTACTGAAGATGCATTTTGTGCTTTGGGTCGGCCATATTAATCTCCTGGTCCAGACAGCTTTGTTAAACTGTGTCTACATGCGTACTTGTCAGCGCGCGCACGTGTCAGCAGACGGCTATGGTAGTTAGACAGGTGGCAGCCAGTGTCACGTGTCACCGATCGACTAATTCTCTACTCAAAGGTGACAGAGTGCAACTCAACCCTTTATCACCATAGTTTCCATCAATGCTTTGCCTTCCTCTTCACCTCTGCATCACAGTGTGATATAGAAACCCAGTCTCACAGCAAAACGTGTCATAGCTACGTTGTGGAACGTGGTATTCTCACGCTTTTTGGGGAACGTTTTAGTTGCAACTAGGTCACAAGACTATCAACTTCCCCTCAGCTAAAAAAAGAAAATGGCGAACTGTCGGTCTATTATCTGTGAAAAACACAATATCATAAGAAAGCATCAGCATTTGTATGCGTTATATTTTCACAAACTTCTATCAGAGAATGTAGAAGACCTTCCGTTTATTAGTTTCTAGTGACGTAGTTGCAAGGCAATGTAAATGAATGGGTCGAAATAAAACGTAGTATTGTCACGATTTTGCGTGAGAATACCACGTAGATATTACACGTTTTGCTGTGAGACTGGGTTGGATATATTGCTTCATAAACTGCTGTAGTATTTGGTTTTGTTATGTGCCAACCAAGAGTACCCGCAAATCCCTGTAGCCAAATCTAGTTTTCCTATATTTACTTTGTTTTTGAAGGGTTCACAAATGTTAAAAGGAAACGTTAAAGTCACTATATTCTCCCTGTTTGATGAAGGAAAAGCTCTATCGTGTATTGATTATACGTAAAAAAGTTTGAATCATCTATTTTGTCTTCTGCAGCATCGTCACTGATGTGAGTTTTAATGCAAAATACCTCTGCTGAGTGAGACCGCAGTCTTTTTCTTGCAGCTGCCAATTAGAGGAACAGAGAGTGAGATACAGATACAGATACAGTAACAGTACATGTTGCTGACTTGACCGAGATAAACGCCTGGAAATGCTTAGAAATGGAGCTGAGTTCATGCCGAGCAGATGGCAACATCACGTGGTGTTTATGTGCTCTGTGGTTTTCACATCGACCTCATTCAAATCCAGTGTTTCTCAAAGTTCTGGTGCTGCCAACCCTGAAAAGTACGCCTAGTATAAGAAAAAGGAGAGCCATAGTGCCACAGACTATTTGACAACGAACATGCTGCCAGGAATTTATTCCATTTTGGAAAATGTGTTGCCATGTCAGCCAAACATTTCCCATCCTGTGCTGGGAATTACGGAATATGAGAGAGGGGAAAGTGGGAGGTTCAATCGGTGGAAGGACACATACTGCGAGAGAGAGAGGGGAAGCACATGCCCCCTTTTTCTTTTGTGAGCAAAGGGTAGCGCACACACAGGAGACTGCCTGTTGACTTGCTGCATACGCAGTGATGACTGAGTGCCAAACAATAGGGGACTGAAATAGACATGTTGTTGCAGTGGCTGGTCCGCTTCAATCCATCACACCGAGACACATCTGGTTCGACTAGTGCTGCCTGCAAGCGCTTTCCTCCTGGGCAGAGTCCAGCATTCATGGCTGCAGCTCATGAATCAAAAAGGAGAATCATCCGTGTGGTCTGTGAATATCAAAATAATGATCACTTCCTGATTTAAAACATAAAACGAAGGAATTGCTAGCTTCTCCTCGACAAATTAGGAATTTGTCTCTCTGTGAGCAAATGATAGCCTTCGCACAACAGCTTTGCGTGTATGCATCACCTCAAATAACCTTTTTCCAGTAAAACATTTTAAACACATCTCTGGACAATTCCTGGACTTTTCAAACAGATTTATAATCTGGTTTCACGTCAGTATAAATCTCTAGGTTCTACGATGCGAGTGACCAAAGCGGATGGCGTCGAGTGAGGACATTTGAGGTGAAGTCAAACCGGAGTCATCCATCAGTACCAGATCTGCACAGACCTGCACAGCTGCAGCCTGCCTGCTTACCTTTGACCTTGGGTATAAAGGTAGCAATGGGGGGGGGTTGTCTCGCCTCGGTCATAACTAATAGAAGTTAAATTGGTACAACTACCACCTGGGGTGATGACGGACGCGATGGAAGGCCTAGTTGGACAAGATCAGGGGGCTTTAGGGGAATTGTTGACATTAATTTGTAAGGTGATGGCATTTACTATAAAAATGTTAAATGTGCACATAGAAATACGATCGTTTTCAGGTTGTTGTCTCCATGACATTTATTTATTTTATCCTTGGTATTTGGGTGATCTTTTTGGTGTGTCCTAACCTTTACTACACAATCTGCGTGTGCTGTTTTATACTTTTTTGCTTTTTTCACTTCTATTTGTGCTAATCATTTTTCCTCTAAGGAGAGAATAAACAAATGACACAATTTATGTTTCATGGACCCCAGTTCTATACAGGTGTGTTGTTTAGGTTACACAATCCGAGTAAGGAAATAGAAGTTCTGACTTCCATCGGATCTGCTCGTTCCCCCGGGCGCGCGCAGGAAAGCGCCTGCTGTCGGTCACACAGACGAGGATGTTATCACCACCGCCGTTAGCCGCAGGGCCGACAGCAACGAAAATGGTAATTAGTTTCCAATATACGCCCTAGATAAACTGGTTGGTAGGTCTCTGGCTGATCAACAAGCACAAAGGACACTTGTACTTTGTGCTGCAATGGGATTAAAACCTACTTTAAATGGGGTTATTAACAATTATCCAAAACTTTTTAAAGTAATTTCTTTGTGCATTTCTCGCACTGAAGAAGTTCCTGTATAGTATCCACATCTTTTCAATAAATTCTCTCTCTTTAATGTTAATATTTCTGTACATAAAGTCCATTTTGTCCAGAGATTTTCAAAACACAGCAACTGAATATTCGGTGTGCAGCTAACCAAAACATCCCTCCTTTTAGTTTCCATCTTTTACTTCTCACTATTGATGTTACATACTGTTGAGATAACATAAAGAAAAGTCAAAAATGAACTGCCAATTACTAATTATAAAATTTGAATATAGTCATAGACTGAAAAGAAGTTCTTTATTTTAAATAACTCCGAAGAAGCCCATTTCCTTTGAACCTCATCTCTTTTCTGCTTATAAGATAAATATAACAACTC